ACAATCAAGAAAATCAAATGCATGGATAATTGTTGCTTCATGTAGATATAAAATGACAATTGCACATGTCTAAGTCATACTACAGGTGTACTAGTACTTGTACTATGCATGTGATTGTACATGTATGTGATGTGGGCTATCCTCTCCATGATCATTTTTTGTATATTTTGTAGTAAACAAAAAAAGCATGAATTGTTATCTGTTTCACTTGCATGCCGTGATGTGTCCATTAACAAATAATTAACTCCCTCTCCAGGCTTGCAGTGCACTAGTTTGTGGATTGTTGTATGTATATCTGTGATGATGCATGTCCTGATCATTGCATGTACATTTGTGATGAGTGTCTTGATCATTGCATGTGCATGTTTACCTGATTATAGCCCATCAGTTTGATACACATTGCTGCATGCTGACAATATTATCAATTTTAGACAATATGAAAGGGTTAAAATATAAATTGTAATACTTTTTCAATATTTGCAATTGTACGATATCAAATTAAATTTTTATATGTACTTATATATAGAATTCATCAATCAATTAATTTGATTAGAGATTGCATACCTTGTTAAGGTAGGTATAAAACTTAACAAAATAATCTTAGATTTTAACAACTAAGAAAAGAATAACTTATTTGAAACACACAATTTTTTTACAGCATATGATTTCTAATTTATGATTAAATTTATATAGTTTTTCAATTTGTTTTTCTTATTTAGAACAAAGCACAGAAAAACAGCAAGTATTTGGAAGTGCAGATAATGGTGAAGGAGAGGCAGGTCAAGGGCAGGAGGCCAAGGCCACAGAGGGTGAAGGTCAAGAAACAAATGATGCTCCACAAGAGGATGAAGTGAAAGACAACACCGAAACAGAGGCAAAAACTGATGAGGAGACAAAACTGGCAGAGGGGCAAGAAGAAACACCTTCAACTGACACAGACCAAGCACCACCAGCTGAAGCAGAGGGAGAACAGGCAGCAGAAGGCACAACCACAGACCAAACAGAGGCAACAGGACCAACTGACCAACCACAGCCCACAGAACAGACTGACCAATCACAAGCAGATGAAGCAACACCAAATGAACAATCAGAAGAAGCTTCAAATGAGCCTGCCCCAGCAACAGATAATGAGCAGGTGGCCACTGAACAGGGCGAAAAAGGTGATGAACAAGATGCTAAACCAGACAAAACAGATGCCAAACCAGATGAAAACACAGATGCTCCTACAGAGGGTGCCCAGTCAGAGCAGAAAGAGGCTGGCCAATCTGATGAAAATGCCACCGATCAACCAGAGGTGACAGAAGAACCAACAGCAGAGGGAACATCAGAAAAGGCAGAGGAGGCCAACACAGAAGCTGCTGAACAGTCAGAAACTGCAAAAGAGACTGGTGAAACAGCTGAAGACTCTCAGGAGACAGATGCAGCACCAACTGAGGCTGCAGAGCAGGGAGAGGCTGTGGAGACCTCTGGTGAAGCACAAGAGGAAGGTCAGGAACAGGAAGCTGCAGAGGATGCTGGGAAGTCTGAGGAGCAGACGGCAGAGGAGCAATCAAAAGAGGGAGGGGAAACAACAGAAGGTTTGTCTGTATAGTCTGTATTAATTGTATGCTTTAATTACTGAATCTATGAAATTATGACTAAATTTTTTAAAAAATAATTTTTGTATTTATTGACTAATCCCTTATTCACATGTAACAATTTTACATTCACTACATGTATTTCCCACATGTTTTCAGGAGAAGGAACCAAGCCAAAAACTCCCAAGAAGCCAAAGACCCCCAAAGGTGTATTGCCGCCACCGCTGCCATCTCTGGATGATGGGGACGTGGAGGTGGCTAAGATGCCAGAGTTCAAGAAGCCAGCTGATGGCAACGACCCCAACACTAGAGGGGACGAGGAAGAAGTCCAGAGTGTAAGCTCCAAGGTGAGATATATTGATTTAATAGATATATGGTCACAAGATAAAACTATGTGGCTTATATAGATGCTATACATTTTAAGAAAAGAAACATTTGCACATGACTATAACACTTACACAGATTATCAACTTTTAACACTTTGCTATTTATGTATATTGTTTGACATTGAATGCCTAACATGATTTACAGATAATAAATAAGTATATTAGGAAAGGTTTTCTACCTGAGCGGCGTGATGTTTTGAAGCTTCATCAAAATTCAGGCCTTGATTAAATGATTGACTTGTCGGCATGAGCTCTGGGAGTTAAGACATCATTACTTACACACATTGCTGTTTCTATACTCCTTCAGATTGACGAGGAAGACCAGAGGATCCCCGATGACTTCTTTTACAATTATGAAGAGTTTATGTCCAAAGCCAGAGTTTCTGCTGACTCAGGCTTACCCCAAGACATCCTCACTCTCAAGTAAGTTGTGAGAACTCTCTTGCTGGTTTGCATACTTCAGCTGTGTTGGTCTGCTGAAATAATATAAAATCATATTATTTTATGTAATGTGAACAGAGCATTGCATTTGAAGTTCATTGCCCCTTCAATTGAGATTTTACCATTCTGGTTTATATTCATTAAAAATTAATAATATAAAGTTAAATTTATCAAATTATCAATTTACAATATCCTTCCAGGCACTCATTTGGTTTTGATGCCCAGAAGAGGGACAATCTTCACATCATCGACCCTAACACCATCATGTTCATAGCTGGTAATGTGGTAGAGATCGTGGACCTGAAGACCAAGGCACAGACGTACCTCAGGAGTACCAGTGGGGGCGGTATTGGAGCCATAGCTGTAAGCATACTACACATACTCTGGGATGATGTTTCTTTTAGTGTTAAAGTCGATTGTAAAAAAATTAACTTATTCAATGATTAGTTTAGCGAAATTTTGTGAAATATTTTGCAAGGGTCATTAACTTAGTTAATTTGACAATATCTTGTGCATTTTGCTAAAGTTTTTGTATCGTTTGTGTTTTTATCTAAGGGTGTTGTTTCAAAGTCATTTGTATAGAGTTTTTTTTTTCTCTCTCTTTTGATATCTTGTAAAATGTTAAGAGAAACAACTGAAGATTTGCCACAAAATTACTTTTCCCAAAAATCAAACTAAAATTCAATTTCTATTCCTATTAAGACCAACAGCAAGTAAAGAAATGTAATTGTACTATTTTAGGTCCACCCAAGCAGGAAATATTTTGCCGTGTGTGAGAAGGGCGAAGCCCCCAATATCCTGATCTACACCTGGCCTGACCTGAGACTGTACAGAGTGCTGAGAGGAGGCACACAGCAACTGTACAGCTATGCTGACTTCAGGTAGGACACATACACCAGAGACATACAGTGTATCTCCATCACATAATTGCTTTTTATATGACAGAAGTTAAGTAAAACTCAAATAAGACAGGTGTAAAAAAATTGTTGCAGCTGTATGGCCTGTATCTATTTAGTGTAATCTTAAAGGCAGAAAAGGGTTATAAGAAATGCAGGAAGACGAGAAGAAAGATAGAAAAAAGGAAGGTTTATATGAAAGAAAAATAAAAGTCAAATATTGATAAGTCTTAGAAGAAAGACATGAAAGCTGGAAGAAAGGTGAAAGATGTACTAAGGAGGGTTGGAAAGAAAAAAAAAAAGATGACTGGAAATGGATAAATAAATATTGGATAAATAAATAATAATGCCATAACTTTGTTTTCCCTACTCTCCAGCCCTGATGGTAAGATCCTGGCCTCAGTGGGAGGAGAGCCTGACTTCATGCTGACACTGTGGAACTGGAAGCAGGAGAAGACACTGCTCAGATCCAAGGCTTTCTCCCAGGACATCTTCAGGGTCAGCTTCTCCAATGACCTGGAGGGACAACTGACCTCAGCTGGTACTGGACACATCAGGTAGGCTAGGGGCTGTTTTGTTTTCTGGCGATTCTAATTGTTTTGAAATTTTGTGTTTTTGAAGACTTATTTAATGATTTATTTATTATCTTTTTGGGGGGAGACTATTTTGAGCCAAGTTTTAGTCACAGAAGCATGTTTACACATGGGTTACATCATGGTGTTTCTTTTAAGAAATTAAATTAAATAAATTCTAGAATCATCTGATTAACAAGGAAGCTTGCATAAGAGTTTAATTACTCAGAATCTGATGCTCTGAGACTGTTTTAAACTTTTTTAAACTGAAGCAGTTTAAATGATAGTGAAGCTGCTTTATCTTCACAGGTTTTGGAAGATGGCCAGCACATTTACAGGTTTAAAGCTGCAGGGTCAGCTGGGGAAGTTTGGAAAGACAGAGCTGACGGACATTGAGGGCTATGTGGAGCTGCCAGATGGGAAAGTACTATCTGGGGCTGAGTGGGGAAACATGCTGCTTTGGGACGGAGGGCTGATTAAGGTGGGTTTACCATTGCCGTATATTCAAAAAGTTTCTCATCACACAGACATACATTTAAATACACACTAGTAAAAAGTTAATTGTGTAGTTTCTCATCACACAGACATACATTTTAATACACACTAATTGTTTCTTTATTGTTTATAAAGAGTACCTGTAGCCTCATTCCTTGTCTTGTTAGACACTGAAGCATTGAGGTGGGAATAACTAGAGTTAAGCTCTTGGTTGAAGACACCACCAGTGTGATTTGTTTATCTCTATCAAGTAGAAACTAAACTTGATCTTCCTGTGTTCAGGTTGAGATTTGTCGTAAAGACAAGAAGCCATGTCACCAGGGCCCCATCCAGCAGATCATCATGGACGAGGGGGAGCTGATGACTGTGGGCACAGATGGCTGTATTAGGGTAAGAAGATGGGGGCACTGGGTTTAAAACATGGATGAAAAATGCCAATCTTTATACTTTCAGCTAGAGATTTAAAAAAAATTACTGATCATAATGATAATGATGAAAGAAGAGAAAATGATGTTACTATTCCAAATAACCAAATTTCACTGAAAGTTTGTATTTGAACTTAGTGTGAAAGTAATTTTCAACCAATAAAATCTACAAAAAAAAATGCACAAAAAAGATAAACCATTGAATTTACTATACTTGTGATTATCCATATTTCTTTTTGTATGATCTAAGTTCAGAGTGAAAGTACTCTTTTTACATATACCAAAAGGTCCCATACAGAGCCTGGTTACTAGTAACTAGAAAGTACCATAATTATCTACACATATTGGGCATGTCTAAAACTGAAAATAATCAGAGCCATTTTATACTTACCCCCCCCCCCCCCTTTACCTCCTCCAGGTGTGGGACTTTGAATCCATAGACACAGCAGACAGCACAGATGAGGAGGGTCGCTTTGAGATGGAGCCCATGAATGAGCTGAAGATTGGCCATGGCCATGAAGTCAGCCTGAGATGTATCAAGAAGTCCGTAGATCCTGATGAACCCACCATTTGGTATGCCCAGGTCAGTGAGGGGGTCTTTTTGTCTTTTATTTTTAACCAGTTAGAAGTGTCCATTTAATTTTTATTGGTTTATGTGTAATGGTAAGTTTTTACTTTAATTTGATTAAAACTTGAGTGCAGTCTTTGCAAAAGTTGTGATGCTGTTTTTAAAGTTAGAATGATTTGAATGAATATTAGTTTTAATTTCATTTATTAATTTTTTATTTAATCTTACTATATTATTTTTATTGATATATTGGCTAGTTGATTTGCAAATGCATGAATTTCTCATAAATTTACAAAAAAAAATAAATAAAAAAAATAAATAAATAAATAAATCAAAGGTAAATCAATGATTAAAAAAAGGGAAATAAAATGATTCCCCACTCCTTTAAGAAACAACTGCTCTTATTCCATACGTGCCTATTCTATATTCCAGGACTACAATGGTGGTATCTGGAAGTTGGACCTGTCGTTCTCTCACACCTCCCAGCCCCCAGAGAAGCTGCTGTCCTACCACTCCGGCCCCATCACTGGCTGCTCCACGTCTCCAGTCAGCCACCTGGTGGCCACCATAGGACAGGACAGTAAGTACAACAGGAACCTGGTTCATGAAGGAATTTTTAGTTGGAAAATCGGTCTTACATTTGGTCTTCTAGTAACTCGAGATAAATCAGTAGTAGTCTAACTAAATGATTATTTGTGTCAGACTTAGATTTGCAACAGGAAAGACAATTGTCATACCAGCTAAATATTTTAGACCAATACTTGATTTACACTTATTTTTATTTTCCAGAATCTCTGCGTATATATGACTATGTGTCCAATCAGAGTGTGTGTGAAGTGAGATATAACATGGGAGGATCCAGGCTCATATGGGCTCCTAGAACTGTAAGTGCTAAAAGAAAAAAAAGATGTTTGAAATGTAAGTGAAAGACAGATTATAGTTTTGTGTCAAGAATTATATTTTCACACAAGATAAACTCAGTTTTATATATACATTTGCTCCATATTTTGGCATGATTATGTGTATGTATATTGCTCTCAGGTTGCCAGATTTTGTGTATAGGATCTTATATGTTAATGCTAAAATAGTGTTACTTTTTATATAGATCCACCTATAGCTTGATAAAATGATTATGTTTAAATTAGTCATCTTGTCATATTTTAATTCACCCATTAAAAGTATATATTGCAAAACTTTATTAAAGCATGATATTAATTAATTATATACTATATTTCTGTACAAATGAAACTTTCTTTGATTAAGAATAGAATTTTTTATTTCACATATTAGATATATAAGTATTTTATTTTTTCTTCAGATTGACCCAAAAGGTGCCACTCTGATAGCTGGCTATGATGACGGTGTGGTCAGAGTCCTACAGCTGGCCCAAGTGGACGAGAATGACCCGGCACGCAGAGTTAAGGGGGACACAGAGCTGCTGCTGGTGGACGTCCTCAAGCCACACAAGGCCAAGGTCACTGCCCTGGCCCTGGACAATAAGGGGGAGATTTTGGCAACTGGGGTGAGACTTGACTACAATTCTACCATATATTCAAAATTATTATTTGAATTTGGATACAATCTGAATCAGTTTGCTTTATTACTAGGCTTAATATTGTATTGAGTGAATTTACCCAGAATCTCATAAATTACTAATTTGTTTGTCTTATTTAGTTTTTCACGGTAAACAGTCCACTTTAATTATTTGGTAATCTCTGACAATTACTCCTGATAACACAAAGTAGCCTGGTGTTTTCAGCGGAATTTTTATGAAAAAAATGAGAGCAGAATGAAATATTTCTTGTGATCATGACAAAGGTAGTGAAAAGTCAGATAATTTACCATTACAAGTCACACATGCACTAAAAACAAAGCCTTTTGTTAAACAAAGTGTAGTTTCCATAACCATCACAAATTGTTTAATCTGTATTTTTATTTTCTTAGGGCAACGACTCCTCCGTGTTTTTCATCCATGTGAAGGACAGAGAGACCTTTGAACCTATTGGTTATGTGGAGATGCCAGGAGATGTGACACATCTGGAGTGGGCTCCAGGGAGCTTTGTAAGTATTTAGTGCGGTTAGTATGTACTTTGGGAATCCATTCATTTTTCACATAAATAAACATGCTGTATTACTGCTGCTGTACACAGTGAAATATATTGCCCATGTTTTAGCAAATTGTCTTATTGGTACTGTCACAAGCAGCAGTTCCAGCACAATCATCAGACATATGATATTCTAACCAACAGTTTGTCACGTCTTTACAAGGGCTGTTTATTATCAAACCCTTGAACAATAGCTATAATGTAAATTAATAAATGAGTTGCTGCATCATATTATTAATAATGCATGTGTGTCTGTGTACAGATGCATTTTTATCACCTGTCAGAAAATTAATTATTATCGCATTTTAAAGGTGATTTTTATGATTTAATCTTTATGCGTTTTTATCACCTGTCAAAAATTATTATCGCATTTTTAAAGGTGATGTTTATGACTTAATCTCTATGCTGTACCATACAGTGTCTTAGATGCTAAAAAAAACTTAAAAACAAAGAAGCAGTGCTCCTGCTCTATAGTATTCCATTTTTTCATCTTCCAGAAGCGCAACACAATCTTGGTAACGTGTGCCAATGGGGAGGTGTGTGAGGTGGAGGCACCAGAGCCGGGCGCCTTCGACACCTCCCACAGCTATCTGATCAAAGGACTGAAGACTAGGACGCACACCTTTAAGAGTGTCAAGTCAAGACTGAGGGTAAGTGCTTCATGTTAAAATTTCATTACTTTAAATTAGGGAGAAAACAAAGACTAAGTTTTAGGGGTATGTTTCACAAAATTACTTTTGCACAAAAATTGGACTTAACTTATAAACCAAACTTTTTGTTTACTATGACCTCTGATATATCTGTAGTTGTTCAGTTGAAATGAAATATTGTGTCTATTTTGTAAAGGGAAAGACATGACTAATGTACCTAAAGCTTGTTGTTCTTGTTGCTCAGATATTCATTGTATACTTACTTAGATATTTCATGGAGTTTTTAATAAATGTTATAAGCATTTTGTTTGAATCAAAAAGGTACATTTGAAAAACTCATTTCTTTGATTGCGATTTCAGCATGAAGAAGAGTTGGAAAGAAAGCGGATTGAAGAAGAAGAAGCAAGGAAAAAGAAAGAGGAAGAGAAGAGACGTCGAAGAGAAAGGGGTTTGGAGGATGAGGAGGAAGAGGAGGAGGAAGAAGGTAGCTTTTTAAAGCTGTTAGACATTATAACATGAAAATTCCAGCATCACATACAAAGACTTGTGGGGGTAACTGAGGGTGAATCTGTGCAGTTTGACCAAGTGATAAAAAAGGCAATATTTAAAAGGTTGATATAAATAACATCAATCAGATTTGTGTATTTTCAGCTGACCTCAGTCAGTGGTGACTTTTTGAGCTGTGCAATTGTTTTAAATGCTGCTCACCTCCTAAAAAACATAACAAAATTATAGAAATTCAACATACCATACCAGTGGCAATTATTATTATTATTATTATTATTATTATTATTATTATTATTATTATTATTATTATTATTATTATTATTTATATCTTCAGCCAAAGAAGAGGAGGAGTGGCACCCATACATTCCCTCAGAGCCCAACCCCATCCTGTATGCCTTCTACTCTGGAGAGGACACCTTCTGGCTCTCCATGGTCAGTGACACTCTGGGGGCTTGAGTGCTTTGTTTGATATTATCACATGATACTAGGGGATATGAAAGGGATAGTAGACAACACACTGGGGGGTGGAATGCTTCGTTTAATATAGTACACATGATACTGGGGGATAAGACGGGGATAATCGATGTTCAGTACAATGGGGAAGTTTTTTTGGAGTGACTTAGTGCAGCTGCACTGAATTCACTGACAGTCGGGTTATATCTTTGTGAGGCTGAACATAGGAGTTGCAGTGAATTTCTAGAATGATCAGATTTTTTTTTATTTCTTTTAGCAGCTCTACTCATTTGGATATTGTACTTCTGTTAAGTACTAACTGTCTCATATGTTTTTTTAACATGATGCATTCCAGGGTGAGGTATTCTCTTTCAAAACCTCCATTCATTTTGGTATTGTACTTCTGTAAAATACACACAGAGGCATATAATATATTTACATGTATTAAAACATGACATTCCAGGATGACTTTGATGCTGGCTATCTGTATGAGTGTAAGTTCCTGTCTGATGAGGAAAAGGCCACTGTGCCAGCAGACCAGCTGTATGAACCAATCAGGACCATCGCTGTGTTGGAATCCAATGATGTCCCCATAGACACCATGTTCTTCCAGTGAGTTACTGTCACCGTCTTCTCTCTCACACACACAGACATGCACTCGTATACTCACACATGCATGCACGTGCATGCACACGCACGTGCACACACACACGTGGACTCCAATTGAGTCCTAATAGCCTACAAGTAATTGGCAATATATATTTAACTGCATCCCCCAAATGATGACTGACAAAGCATCTGTTCATGTTGTAATTTTCATGTTCCAGTAACGAGAAACAAGTGGTCATGGGAATGATGGACGGCAGTGTGCGTATACAGCCACTGGAGGAGAAGGACATCGCTAAAGCCACAGACTCATGGCAACTCAGCATGCACGACGGAAACTACGGACGCGTGTCTCACATTGCAGCCAGCCACGATGGCAAGCACCTGTTTACAGTGGGAACAGATGGAAACTTCTTTGTGTACAACTACATGGGACAACAGGAGCTGGAAGACCAAGTGAAGGCCAATAAGGCCAAGATCCCCTCAGCCAGGGTAAGGCTTTGAAGTTTTAATGGTCAAATCCAGTGGTAAAAATAATTTTGAGTACAGGTTTGATTTTATTTCAAAGATGCATACTCTTTTCTGTATTTGTTTATGTATTGCTTAAGATAGTAATAATTCAGTCAAGCCAGAAAATTGCTATGTTAAGCTGGTTAAAACGGCTTTTGTTCTTTTGATTTTTCCTTCAACAACTAATACATTTTTATTTTTTCCATAATTGTATTTTTGTTTTATTGTTACAGAAACAAGAACTGGAGAAGAGAGTAGATGACATAGCAGATGTGAATGCATACAGGTAGGCACCCCATGATCTGTATTATATAATCATTATATTGAATGATGCATTATATGATATGATTTGATATGATCTGATCAAAGTGTGATATAAAATAAATGTTCAAATATTAAATATAACAAAAAAATCCCAATCATGTCTTTTGTATGGGATAAACATAGTTTTACATAAAAAAATTCTCTGCAATTATCACAACTAACACAACTGTTCTCAACCAAANGACACGCTCTTAATATTGTATTGAGTGAATTTACCCAGAATCTCATAAATTACTAATTTGTTTGTCTTATTTAGTTTTTCACAGTAAACAGTCCACTTTAATTATTTGGTAATCTCTGACAATTACTCCTGATAACACAAAGTAGCCTGGTGTTTTCAGCGGAATTTTTATGAAAAAAATGAGAGCAGAATGAAATATTTCTTGTGATCATGACAAAGGTAGTGAAAAGTCAGATAATTTACCATTACAAGTCACACATGCACTAAAAACAAAGCCTTCTGTTAAACAAAGTGTAGTTTCCATAACCATCACAAATTGTTTAATCTGTATTTTTATTTTCTTAGGGCAACGACTCCTCCGTGTTTTTCATCCATGTGAAGGACAGAGAGACCTTTGAACCTATTGGTTATGTGGAGATGCCAGGAGATGTGACACATCTGGAGTGGGCTCCAGGGAGCTTTGTAAGTATCTAGTGCTGTTAGTATGTACTTTAGGAATCCATTCATTTTTTACATAAATAAACATGCTGTATTACTGCTGCTGTACACAGTGAAATATATTGCCCATGTTTTAGCAAATTGTCTTACCGGTACTGTCACAAGCAGCAGTTCCAGCACAATCATCAGACATATGATATTCTAACCAACAGTTTGTCACATCTTTACAAGGGCTGTTTATTATCAAACCCTTGAACAATAGCTATAATGTAAATTAATAAATGAGTTGCTGCATCATATTATTAATAATGCATGTGTGTCTGTGTACAGATGCATTTTTATCACCTGTCAGAAATTATTATCGCATTTTAAAGGTGATTTTTATGATTTAATCTTTATGCGTTTTTATCACCTGTCAAAAATTATTATCGCATTTTTAAAGGTGATGTTTATGACTTAATTTCTATGTGGTACCATACAGTGTCTTAGATGCTAAAAAAAACTTAAAAACAAAGAAACATTGCTCTTGCTCTATAGTATTCCATATTTTCATCTTCCAGAAGCGCAACACAATCTTGGTGACGTGTGCCAATGGGGAGGTGTGTGAGGTGGAGGCACCAGAGCCGGGCGCCTTCGACACCTCCCACAGCTACCTGATCAAAGGATTGAAGACCAGGACGCACACCTTTAAGAGTGTCAAGTCAAGACTGAGGGTAAGTTCTTCATGTTAAAATTTCATTACTTTGAATTAGGGAGAAAACAATCACAAAGTTTCACAAAATAACTTTTGCACAAAAATTGGACTTAACTTATAAACCAAACTTTTTGTCTACTATGACCTCTGATAGATCTGTAGTTGTTCAGTTGAAATGAAATGTGTCTATTTTGTAAAGGGAAAGACATGACTAATGTACCTAAAGCTTGTTGTTCTTGTTGCTCAGATATTCATTGTATACTTAGATATTTCATGAAGTTTTTAATAAATGTTATAAGCATTTTGTTTGAGTCAAAAAGGTACATTTGAAAAACTTTCATTTCTTTGATTGCGATTTCAGCATGAAGAAGAGTTGGAAAGAAAGCGAATTGAAGAAGAAGAAGCAAGGAAAAAGAAAGAGGAAGAGAAGAGACGTCGAAGAGAAAGGGGTTTGGAGGATGAGGAGGAAGAGGAGGAGGAAGAAGGTAGCTTGAATCTGTGCAGTTTCGCCAAGTGATAAAAAAGGCAATATTTAAAAGGTTGATATAAATTACATCAATCAGATTTGTGTATTTTCAGCTGACCTCAGTCAGTGGTGACTTTTTGAGCTGTGCAATTGTTTTAAATGCTGCTCACCTCCTAAAAAAAACAACAATTATAGAAATTCAACATATTATACCAGTGGCATTTATTATTATTATTATTATTATTATTATTATTATTATTATTATTATTATTATTATTATTATTATTATTATTATTATTATTATTATTATTTATTCTTTCAGCCAAAGAAGAGGAGGAGTGGCACCCATACATTCCCTCAGAGCCCAACCCCATCCTGTATGCCTTCTATTCTGGAGAGGACACCTTCTGGCTCTCCATGGTCAGTGACACACTGGGGGCTTGAGTGTGCTTTGTCTGTTAACATTACATGATACCTGGTGATATAAAGGGGTAGTAGAAGTTCAGTAGAATGGGGGTGTTTTGGGGGTTATATCTTTGTGAGGCTGAACATAGGAGTTGCAGTGAATTTCTAGAATGATCAGTTTTTTTTTTAATTTCATTTAGCAGCTCTACTCATTTAGGTATTGTACTTCTGTTAAGTACTAAGTGTCTCATATGTATTTTAACATGACGCATTCCTGCATGAGATATTCTCTTTCAAAACCTCCATTCATTTTGGTATTGTACTTCTGTAAAATACACACAGAGGCATATCATATATTTACATGTATTAAAACATGACATTCCAGGATGACTTTGATGCTGGCTATCTGTATGAGTGTAAGTTCCTGTCTGATGAGGAAAAGGCCACTGTGCCAGCAGACCAGCTTTATGAACCAATCAGGACCATCGCTGTGTTGGAATCCAATGATGTCCCCATAGACACCATGTTCTTCCAGTGAGTTACTGTCACAGTCTTCTCTCACACACACACAGACACGCACTCGTATACTCACACATGCATGCACACACACATGCACACACACACGTGGACTCCAATTGAGTCCTAATAGCCGACAAGTAATTGGCAATATATATTTTACTGCATCCCCCAAATGATGACTGACAAAGCATCTGTTCATGTTGTAATTTTCATGTTCCAGTAACGAGAAACAAGTGGTCATGGGAATGATGGACGGCAGTGTGCGTATACAGCCACTGGAGGAGAAGGACATCGCTAACGCCACAGACTCATGGCAACTCAGCATGCACGACGGAAACTATGGACGCGTGTCTCACATTGCAGCCAGCCACGATGGCAAGCACCTGTTTACTGTGGGAACAGATGGAAACTTCTTTGTGTACAACTACATGGGACAACAGGAGCTGGAAGACCAAGTGAAGGCCAATAAGGCCAAGATCCCCTCAGCCAGGGTAAGGCTTTGAAGATTTAATGGTCAAATCCAGTGGTAAAAATAATTTTGAGTACAGGTTTGATTTTATTTCAAAGATGCATACTCTTTTCTGTATTTGTTTATGTATTGCTTAAGATAGTAATAATTCAGTCAAGCCAGAAAATTGCTATGTCAAGCTGGTTAAAACGGCTTTTGTTCTTTTGATTTTTCCTTCAACAACTAATACATTTTTATTTTTTCCATAATTGTATTTTTGTTTTATTGTTACAGAAACAAGAACTGGAGAAGAGAGTAGATGACATAGCAGATGTGAATGCATACAGGTAGGCACCCCATGATCTGTATTATATAATCATTATATTGAATGATGCATTATATGATATGATTTGATATGATCTGATCAAAGTGTGATGTAAAATAAATGTTCAAATATTAAATATTACAAAAAAATCCCAATCATGTCTTTTGTATGGGATAAACATAGTTTTACATAAAAAAATTCACAACTAACACAACTGTTCTCAACCAACCATAAACTTTGTCACACCTAGCACAATCACACCCTGTTGCTCACACCATTCATTTTACATTTCTTCAGTATTGAGGATGCCAAGCAGAAGGCTGAGCATGACAAGATGTTGCGCTTGGCAGAGGAGAAGAAACAGGGTGTGAGGAGAACCATAGGACAGCTGAGGAGAGAATTTAAGAAGCTTTTGGTCAAGAATGACGAGTTACCAGAACACTTGAGGCTTATGAGAAAGGCATGTGTCACATTATTTCAGTTTTAGTCACTTTGTTTTCTATCTCTTTATTTGATTAAAATTTTAATTTTATTTTTTGTTAATGTTTTTGTATTTTTTTCAGTAATTAAAATTTAGATGATTAAATTGATAGCAAATCTATATGGTAAGTAATTCTATGAAATGGCCCCATTTTGTTCAACATAAATTTCTCTGGCCAGTTTACCAACGAAATACTAAACTAGTATAAATTGTGTATTGTAATTTCAGGAGTTTGAAATGGACCCTGAGATTAAGAGAGAATTAGAAAGACAGAAGGAAGAAAAGATAGCACTGGTGAAGAAGGAGCTGGCATGGGAGTCAGAGAAACACCAGATTGCTTTGGATAAATTAAAGCAGAGGTATGTTAATGGAGCAGGCAATGATTGCTTAATCATTCACAGACTAATTTGCGTCAGATATATATATAGGCAAGGGAATGTTGCTTTTCATTGTATATTTCCTGTTATAGGGTTATCTCAGTAGATTTATATGGTAATACAGCTTTGAAAACATTGTTACAGTATTGATTTTGATCTCATTGTCATAAACAGAAAGTGTGTTTTGATCTACATTTAGCTCAACACTTGACAAAGACCCATTGATTGTTAGATAATTTTTTATCTTCCAATTATTATTATTAATTTTTCTTTTGTTAAGTACTGGTCCATCTGAAGCTGTGACATAATTTTCATAAGAAAATTAGAGTATGTGATAAATAAAGAAATAAATTATTACATGAATTTGATTTATTTTGAATTCTTTCCTGCTTTGAGTACTTTTCAGACATAAACTGTATAACATAACACCAGCACTGTAAATACTATTTTCATTTCAGATTCAAGTTGATGGTGGAGTGTGAGAGGATCGTGGTCAAGGCATTCCTCACGGAGCACGAGGTGACCAGTTTCAGGGCGTCCAAGCTGCCAGATGACTTCTACACCCTGAAGGCAGAGATGGAGAAGAGGAAGACCAGCATGTACAGCAAGGATGAGAGCAGAGAAGCTACCAGGGACAGGGTCACAGGTAAGCATGGAATACCAGATTGGTCACAATTAAGTGTGGGGTACCTGGTGGATCTCAGGTAATAATGGGGCTCTAGGTGGGTCACTGGTAAGGATGGAGTAACAGATGGGTCACAGGGAAGGGTGGGGTACCAGATGGGTCACAGGTATCAAGGGGTACCAGGTGGGTCACAGGTAAGCATGGGGAACCAGTGGGTCACAGGTAAGGGCGGGGTACCAGGTGGGTCTCAGGTAATAAGCGGGCACTAGGTCGGTTACTGGTAATGATGGAGTAACAGTTGGGTCACAGGGAGGATGGGGTACCAGATGGACAACAAGTAAAGATGGGGTAAAAAGTGGTTCACAGGTAGGGGACCTAGGTTAGTCACAGGTAAAGATGGGGCACCAGAAGGAGGAATTTTCACTAACAACCCAGTGCTGTAATTATCTTTTGTATTTGGTATTTTAGAATTTGGTCCCATGGCAACCATGTCATTGTTAAATGTCATTATAGTTTTTAAATTTTACCATTCTCACCTTCAGGCCAGGCCAGGAAATCAGAGAGTGGGGGAGGAGCTGAGGGCGAGTCAGAAGAGGGTGCTGTCAAGACAGCCCTGAAGGGAAGTCTGGGAGAGAGAATTAACAAAGCTCTTCAGAAAGTGGAGGAGAAGAAAAAGAAGAGAGCCCAAAGAAAGGCACAGGTATGAAGACATTCTTTGATCTTTTTGGACTGGATTTACATAATAAATACCATCTTGGGCTCAGCGTTTTATTCTTAGGTACAAAAAATTTATTTTTAAGTATATATTTCTATTGTATAATTTGGGATGAAAGAATTATGAATGTATTGATCAGAACTGATATTCACCAAAACTGCTTTAATTTGATTGAAAGTATTTTTTATGGGAGAAAAATATATTATTGTTTAATTGAATATTTGGATGGGTTAAAGATATCAAAGTTGATCTTTATATCTTATTCTAGTGGGATGAGCTGTACAACACAAAACCAGACGAGGATTATGAAGATCCTGCAGATGTGTCAGCCATTAAGGAAGCTCAGGAGAACATGGGAGACTTCAAGCTGAAGACGGCAGATGACTATGTGGTCCCAGACCACCTCAGGATGAATGTGGAGAAAGCAAGAGTTAGACTACTCATGCTCAAAGATTTGGTGAGTGTGGGATGTTCTATGATGTTTTGGAGGGGGGGGTAAGCTAGAGTGAAATAAATTTAATTTTTTGTTAAGATATGCTGTTAATAAAGTAATGATATTCTTTTGGAGTTTAAAAAATATGGATATTTTAGAATTTACCTGGATATATAAATTTTACATTAGTTTTAGATTAAAAAAAAAAACAATTTGATCCATAGATATTAGCCACTCATTATGATTATGTGCAGCAATTCACCTCGTAACAACATTTCTATCTTATCAATATAGATCCATCAACACAAGTACAAGTTCAACCAGAAATTGCTGGGCCTGAGGAACACCAAGATAGAGCTGATAGACAGTATCAAGGAGCAGGTCACTGAGCTGGACAACCTCCAGAAGAAGCTGTCCCCAGAGCTGAGGAAGCCTGTCCCCAAGATCCCCCACATGAGCAGAGAGGAGATGCCAGAGAGGTCAGTTACACAGGATTGTTGTTGTTGTTGTGCTACATTTGTTTGATTTATTTTATTCCCTTTAATTGATTGATTAAATTATTTGTTCTGGTTGATTCATCCTTGATTCATTAATGTATTTGCCTGTTTGTTTGATTTATTGATTAATTGGTTGATAAGTCAGTGTTGTTGATTGGGTGATTGACTGATTATTAATCATTAAATTCAGTAATTAATTGCTTAATACCATTGCTTAATTTGTTCATTTCAATTTCATATTATTAGGAGTTTCACCTGTATTTGTCATTGGTGTTTTGTTGCTGCTTTGTTTTTAGTCTGTCTGCAATTTTAAAGTCAATTCTAAACTCCTTTCACTATTTATTTATCACAGGAAGTATGAGTACACCCGTGAGACTCTATTGAAGTTCAAGGCAGAGCGGGAGGCTGAGGCCCTGGCTGCTAAGACTGGCAAGGACCAGGGGGATGGGTTTGGAGGTTTTGGTGGTGGTGGCGGTGGGTCTGACAAGGACTCCAGGGTAAGAATGATTAATGTAATATATAAGATAGAATTGATAGGTACTTAATTGTCACCAAATACACCACAGAAGTGGTGATTATGTACAGTAACGATACCCATTTATAAGATAAATACAGGAATGAATAGGAATAAGCTACCACTGCTGATTACACATCTTTCAAGATTACACATCTTTTTTAAAAAAGAAAAAAAATGGTAGCATGTGATCTGGTGACAAGGTTGTCTGAGGGGATTTATTTAGAGAAGAAATATTTCATGTTTAACCTATCCTGGTTCTAGCAATCCTCGGCCACCACCCATCGCGGCAAGTCAGCCAAGGCTGCACGATCCTCAGACCAGGACCTGTACACTAAACTGGTGGAGGCTGAGTCCATCAAGTCTCCACTGGAGCTGCAGATCATGAAGGCTGAGGAAATCAAGTGAGGACAGAGTGTTATTATTATATAATAACTATAATTGTAAAGATTGGTTACAAATGCTATTACTGCTGGCATATTGACATTGGTTAAGTGACGGAAACTTCTGCTGGTGAGGTTGGCATAAAAAATAACATACTGGTATTTCACTGCCAAATTAGTCACACAAAAAATGTGTTTTTATTGTCTTGCTACTAAAAATATGTCTGTTTAAATAGCGATGAAAGAAAGAGAGAAAAAAAAATCCTTACCTACTGCTTTTATCATATAAATATAGAAAAAAATGACAGAATAAGCAGTGAATGAAAAGAAAGTGAAAGAAGATTTAGGACAATTAGAAAAATGATTAATTTTATTCTATTTTGGTTGAATTATTTGTTTGTGATGTGACAAGCATCTACATCATTGTCAACATCATCAACATTATGTATTTGTTGCTATTGTAGACTCCTGTACAGAAGAGACCAGCTGCTGAACAAGATCGAGGAGGCACTGAAGACATTTGATGCTGAGCTGAGGATGCTGAGACATGAGAAATTCAGGCTGGGATATGACCTCAAGTGTGCTGACCTCAGGTAGGGGAAGAAAAGAAGTTTAAGTTCTTTTTGACATTATAATCTAAAAGTGGATATCTCTTAGTAGATGTTAAATATAAGGATTTTTCATTTATGATATTGTTGATGATTCTCAGGCAAGTGACACTGTTTGAGGAGCTGGCACTGCTGAGAGAGTTTGAGAAGAGAGAGAATGTCCTGGCTGACAAGGTGGAGGCCAAACAGCAGGAGAAGATGGACTTTCAGGCAAAGGTAAAATATTATTATAGAAGTTGCATACAAGATGTTTTTGTATTTTCACACTATATCACAGTAATATACTGAGACAGTAAGTACATGGGACAGCAATATCCTGAAAACAATCAATCTTAGTATTATGCAGACAAAATTTAAACCTATTACTGAATTTAAACCTTACTAAAGTTCTTCATAAACTGTCAACATAAATGCAATCCATGTCCCTGTAAACTGTCAAAACGAACACAGAGTCCTCAAACGGGTCATTTTTGTTCCAGATCATCGACATCCAGCAGAAGTTGGACCTGAAGAAGAAAGACATCGAGAAGCTGCAGGAGAAAGAGAAGGCGCTGTACGCCATGTTCCAGGCCTCACTGGGAGACAACAACAAGTTTGCCGACTACCTGACCAAAGTGTTTAAAAAGAAGATCAAGAGGTCCAAGAAAAAGGAGGGAGAGGGGGATGGTAAGTTAGCTGAACTTTTACTTTACAAGATTGAATGTTATTTGATGTAGAATCAACCAAAAGCTCTAATGGTATGAATACGTTTTGCTATATCATTGCAAGGTAGCTTTTTATGTTCAGCAAATTAAATTAATGTTACACTAAACAAATCCAAATTGATCTCAACTTTTAGACTGTAAATTTAGTCAATAATGATTCAAGATAAATCTGTCATAGTCAAACTTCAGTTTGGCAACTGTCAGTTTATAAAATTGTTAGCCATTCTTTATTCTTACCAAAAACATGCCAAATACCACTATTAAGATTAATTTACAGCATATTCCTCATATAATTTTATCTTGTTATATTTCCAGGCTCTGATGAAGACAGTGATGAGGACAGTGATGAGGATGAGGATGAGGACTGGTCTGATGAGGATGAGGACTCTGAGATGGGAGGATTTGACCTGGATGTCTGTCCTCCTGGATGTGACCAGGTAAGTATGAGGACTGGTCCAACGTGTACTGGAGTGTATGTATGTGCTTGTGTGCATGCATTGGTGTATGTGCATGTATGCCTATGCATGTGTCTGTGAGAACATGTGTAAATTGTGAGTGTATGTTTTTACATGTGTGAATAAGAGTGAGACGTACTCATAGTCTTTCTTCTCAGAACCATTATCCAAGTATACACCACCTTTCCACTGCTCTTTAAGTGTTGAAATCTTCATAATAACATAACAAATTTTGAGAAGTCAAAGTAAGCATATGCCCTTTCAATTCCGGTTCTTATTTCATTTAGATTACGGCATAAATGATGAAGTGTTTTAAATGAATATTAATACTTTTTAAAGTTAAAACTTTCCATTCCTGCAGAACCTGTACGACAACACATGCCAGCTGCGTGAGAAGCGTCTGGACATTGAGGAGGCGCTGACAGAGGAGAAGAAGACCAATGACACCATGAGGAAGGAGGTGGAGACGCTGCAGAAGAAGGCGAAAGTCATTGATGGTGCGCTGAAGAATGCAGAGGCTGATCTGGAGGCCTTCCAGGTAAGCAGACACCATTGATGCCATGTGCAGATCTAGGGATGGTTTGTTAAAAAGAACATAAAATGTTGGTCTTTGACTTCGGTTTTATTTTGTGTCAAAGTATACAAAGAATGTTGGTCTTTTTGTTCAAATTTTTTTTTTTTTTTTTTTTTGACACAGCTTCTGCTAGCAAAATGACAGACAATTTTTGGCAGGGAGATTTGGCATACTATGAAAACAGTCTTCCCTCTTGATCTGCAGAATTAATATCATAGGTACATTAACAACAAGATATCCTATATGTTTTCAGCTTGAAAAGCAGCAAAAGATCAATGAGCTGGATGTGGTGGTGGTGTTGAAGCTGCACCAGATCCAGTACATGGTGAACAGCGTGCTGCCCCAGGACCTCAGCCAGTGCCTGATCTTTGAGTCTGGAGGCATTGTACAGCTACAGCACAGGATCAAGGAACTGGAGCATGAGAAAACACTGCAGAAAAAACAGATGAAGTAAGTGGGCATTATTTGTTGTATAAAATTATTCCTGATTATGGTATTGAATTTACAAATTTGCATTTTGCAAAATGATTTTCACGAGTGGTGCAGTGCAATGTAGTTTTATTTGTATGTGGATGGATGTTCCATAGAACAATTCTTGTTAACAGTTATTGGTAGAAGCAACTGCAATATTTTAATTGATGAAAGGAAGAAGACTCTAAAGCTTGCTGAAGTCTACTTAATTTTTACTTTGCTTTACCTTACTCATTTCATTTGTTTCCAGGGAAGCCAGGAAGAAGCATGTCCAACTTATCAAAGATCGGAAGGTGTTTGAGGCAAAGATAGGAGAGATGGAGGAACAATGCAACCAGATGATGGTGGCCAAGTTTGGACGAATTGTTGATTTGGAGAAACTGGAGACGGTCACAGTAAACAGAAATATTGAAGAGTTGAAGGAAAAATTGCGGATTACAGAGATAGAGTGCACCAAAGAAATCTCCTCCTGGCAGGTAAGTTAAGTCTGATGAAAAGAGATATTGAATTAAGCATACCATGGGGTGATGTTGATCAGTGGCTTTTTTTTTTTTAGTACTGCTTACAGTCCGTTGTTCTCCTAGCCCCTGGCCTCTGCAGAATGTGAAATTATCCTTTTAGACGTTCTCTCACTTTAATCTCCCCATCCCATCTTCTTCTGTGTAGTTGTTTGTACTAACAAATAGCTCATGGCGCACCCAAAAACGTTTTTTGTTCACATACTTTCAGGACAAGATTGGTCACTACAAGGACCGCATCACGGAACTAACCAGAGAAAACACAGACAAGCTTGACCAGCTGAACATGTTGATGGGAGAGAAGAAAGAGTTTGAAGGAGCACTGGACTCCAGACAGAAAAATTTGGTATGTTGTTCAACAAAAGTTATATTTTATATACTAAATATCATATAAACAATTGTCTGTGATATGTTTGAGATAAAAAGGGTTGGTCTTCAATACAAAGGGAAGTAGTTTACAGATTGTTATTTACACAAGCTGAAAAGATGGAGAAGAGGAGTTGGTTGAAAATGTCTTACAGTGACAGTAATTTTGTTTGAAAAATTAAGTTAAGTGAGGGTGCAGTGTCTTGTAAGAATGTTTTAATGGATTAGGTTCTGTAAATGAAATGGAAGCCAGATATTGTATATTTTATGTACCTATTTTTTTATTGGCTAAATAAATTTTTATCTCTTATTTCATGTGAAATCGACCATATTTAGATTATTCCATTTTAGTTATACATAATTTTTCAAAAATTATACATTTATACTAAAAACATTTTTAGCATTTTATAATCATTCTTTCAGGGTGGTGAGTTCAGTGGAAATAGAAAAGCTGATCTTCATGAACGACAGCGGCTGATACAATTGGTCCAACTTCAGGCTCAAGAGATAGAGGCACTGAAAGAGGAAATTACGCTGCTCTCTAGGAAAGGAGGTCACATTCTGCCACCTGCTCAGCCGCCTTTACAACAAGGCGCGGGCGGCCTCTAATACAAAAAAAACATCAACTTGCTTGCAACTGGAGCAATATGAAGACTCAATTCCCTTTCAACAGACATTTAATTTTTTTTTTTTCTAATTTGATTTACTTGAGCTTACTGTGATAGCTGATGAGATGACATTATATTTTTTTAGATGCAAATTCTCTTTTTTCTCTTTTTTGTAACATCCAGATAACTCATCCGTCCAAATGGGCCTCAGAGCATACGAAATGTGAAAATCCGTCCTAAGTCGTCCTAAATAAAAAAAAGCTGATGCAAATGTTTTTAGATTCTATCTTTTTATGTATTAATGTATTGCAGCAATCATTACATTTACAAACAATGGGAGATGTATGCACTGAAAATGTTATATATATATAAATATATATATATATATATATATATATATATATATATATATATATATATAAATACATATATGTTCTATTGGATCATATGCCTCATTCATTCTAAGTATATTGAATAAATACAATTATTCAGTGTTGTAATTTTTGTTCCTTGTGTACGTTATAAACATAAAATGATAAGAAAACACACACATCACATAACATTTAGATTTATTACACATTCAAATAAATCAATGCATGATTTATTATCACTTACTGTAACCATATTATGTATTATAATTAATGCCCTAGACTGGCTGGTAACAGATATAACCCCCAATCATACATTACCAAACAATTCCTTCTACATTACAAACGTAACAAGCATGCAGCTATGCTCTCACTTTTATTCTGGATAAGCATTGTACAAAACTACTTTGTCTTGGCTTTAATAAGTATAGAAAATTACTATCTTACACTACTGAAATTTAATAATGCAATGCCAGAGATCAGTTTACCATGTATTAACTTGATTATGGAGTACAGAAAGTGTACAATGCATTCAACACTGCATAATATGTTACAAGAGTAGAAAATATTATCAAGAATTTTAAAGTAATAATTTTTAAAAATCTTCTTGAAATTAGAAAACATAATCAATACCCAAAACATGATAATTTTTCAGTGGCGTGCAACATTCTGTGTTGCCACATAGCTTAAGAGAAGACAACCAAATAAATATTTGTGGCCAAATTCTGTCAGCTGTGATTTTTTTAAACACAACACTTGCTAGTCTGTCATTATTGCTGACCCGCTTTTCCTGCAAATATTAGCTGCTCCTTATTCTGCTTTTTTTGCATGAAACACTAAAAGTGATATATATCAATCAAACCTAGGGCATCCATTCACCAGTGAAAACTTCCTATTATGTAGAACAAACTTGTACATTCAACACCTATATTCTCATTACCTCCCACCTCCCCTGCTACTAAGTCACTAGTGTTTCACACAGAAAGAACAAACGCAGTGATGTATCTTTTTAACTTTTCAACATGATTATGATTTCACTGATACACAATATGAAATAAATAAAAAAAATCAGGTCATTCTAGTACCAAAAACATTTTGCTGCCATTCTAACAGTCCATTGCTCACTTACGCTGTGCACGATAATGACCTTGGCATTTGCCAAGCTGGCTATACAAACAAAAACTTTTTAAAAAAATTACTGACTATTGGTCCAATGTTCACTTTCTTCTAGCTCCAATAACTGAGTGCAAACACATACAACAATATGTTCACAATAGTTTACTTTCAAGTAGGCTGTTATTTACAAATGGAAAAGTCTGCAGGGTTTGGACTCCACTAGATGATTATGATCAAGATACTCAAGACTATCAGAAAATAAAGAGTGTTCTTAAATTTTTAGATATTCATATAGAAAAAAATCAGCGATAGTTAGCAAAATTTCCAGCCTGCGTCCATGTGCTTGGTATATAAGTGACAGGAATACCACCCTGTGTGTTTGAAACTGCCACCTGGATGGACTGAGGGAGGCCTTGGGAGTTTGGTACTGCCACCTGGATTGGCTGAGGGAGGCCCTGGGTGTTTGGTACAGCCACCTGAATTGGCTGGGTCAGGCCTTGTGATTGTGGTACAGCTACATGGATTGGCTGAGGACTGCCCACTTGGATTCCTTGAGGATTTGAGACAGCTACTTGAATTTGCTGAGGGCTGCCACTCCCTGTGTTTATTTGAACCTAGATTGTGCAAGAGTTATATATAAGAATGGTATAGACAGCATATTGTAAACATTATAGCTATAAAAGTTAATCTTAGATGGTATGAATAAGAATTTGCACATGTCCACCAAAAATCAACTCATTCTATTTAAAAATCCTTCAGGTATTCATTTTAAATGATGCACATCTTTCACCCTTCTCTTGATCCATTTAGAATCTAAGGGGCTGTTCAGAATGAGTTATGTTACCCCAGCTAATACGCACTAAATCCGGAGAGACTCTCCCTGGATGCTAAAATACTTGACTGGCAACAAGTCACACCTAACACAATCAACTTACAGCATACCAAAGCTAACACATTCAGCTAGCACCATGTCACAACTAACACATTCCACTCTCACTAGACAAAAGTAGTAAACCCAGACGATCCAACTGACACATTTTCCTACCTGTCCCTGTGGAGTATAGTGAAGGTGTGTGATTTGTCCAAGGTGACTGATGTCTATGGTTGAAGTGTGTTGTCCTGGGTGTGGGGTGAGTCGTGGGGTTAACTGGTACTCCACTGTGCCACCTGGCTGTGGTCTGTACTCAGTCAGAGACTGGGTTAGCTCACTCATTGCCTGGGTTAGCAAGTCTGCAGCCTGAATATGGAATGTATCATTATCAATATTCATTTAATCTCATATGTCAAAAGTGCATATATGCACTTACCTCTTCCTCAGATATATATGACTGGGAGTTTATTACAATCATTACGCAGAAACAAAATGATATTTACTTCATTATCATACCAGTTAAGACAAAAATAAGCTTTTAATTGGTAAAAGAAAAATCAAATAAATTAAAAGGACCAGCAAAATTAAACTCTCTAATACTCACTAAAGCTTTGGAATTATCTATCTATCTTAACTCTTAACTTTTTCTTTCAATCCATAAAATTACTTTTCATGGCTGAAAGCACCTGATCATATTTAACGTGAGAGAGGTGGTTTCATCTCTGTTAGTTACTATTTTCCATGCCCTCAGGGTACTGTTGATTCTAACTGTTCACCTGGCTATTCTTCATGGGCTGACCACCCTGCTGGTCATTCTACCTACTCACCTGGCTATTCTCCATGGGCTGACCACCCTGCTGGTCAGTTTCTGGCTGTTGTAACATCAGAGTGTCTAGCTGCTGCTTGTTTTCCATCGACCTCCGGACAATCATTGGTGGTGCCAGCCGTGGGTGCTTCTTACGCTGATGCTGCAGCAACTTGGCTTTGCCTGGGAAAAATACATTTTAATAATAAATGTGCTACAATCATTTAATTAATTCTGTTCTTTTTGGTTAACAAATGACAACCACACTTTTTAAATGCTAATTGTATTAAAAGATGGTGTTACTTAACTTTGAAACAGTACAGAACGCCTACTTTATCATATTAGATATACTCGTTCAAATAATCCAGGAGGTTGTCACATACTGGCATATTGTTTGTGGCAGTGTTCACAGGGATGAGGCATGGCTGTCACACTGCCCACAGTCTGGGAGAACGTGGGGTCAGGGAAGTTCTGCAGCACCTGCTCCACCTCAAAGATCTGTTTAATGCGTCCACTGGCTGGCAACTGGGCACCTGGATGGTTCTTCATGATGTGGGCCTTACGCTTAGAGCTGGACTTGTACACCTGGATGAAAATATTCTAATGTGAGTCTTTCGTTTTATAATTAACAGATAAATGTGAAGAAGTGCAAGAAATAAATAAATGAATGAAATAAATAGAAAGAAATAAAGAAAGAAAGAAAGACAGAAAGAAACTTCTGGCAAAATCCATCCACAATGCAGACTAACAAAATCCTGCTGACTTGATAATCTTCTAAAATGAAGGTTCCTAGACATAAGACACACAAGAAATATAAAAGACTCACCTTGTCACAGTACTGACAGTAATAGTCTCTCTGTGTCTTCAGAATAGGTAAGTTCAGCTCTGGCACTGACTCAGGCTTAACATCCGGGTGACGCTTGGCCAGATGATTAACAAGCATGCCCCGCCTCTTGAACCCCATCAGACAACTATGGCACTTGTAGATAAAGCGGTGATATTCACTGGGGGACACTTTCGGTGTGAACTTCTTTTTAATGTTTGACAAATTAGGAGTGCTGTTCAACTGCATGGATGCCTCGCGTTCAGCAGTGTGCATGCGCTTCACATGCTCCTTCAGTTTGTCCTTACGTTTGAACTGCCTGCCGCAGGTTTCACACATGAACTCACGGTGTTCTGAATGACGCAACATGTGCAGCTTGAGTTTGTCAGGTCGAGGGAACACCTTCCCACACTGGTCACAAGGAAACTGCTTCTCAGGGTGAAAGAAACGCATGTGCTTTCGTATATCATTGAAGTCTTCAAATGTTTTCGAACAAATTGGACAAGGGTAGACGCCATTGAAACAATGCACAGCAGAGTGCTCTCGCATCACCTGTAATGTAAAGAAAAGTCTGGTTCTTGTGTACCGTATTCCACTGTGTTTCATGACAATAGGCCTGGCATATTTTTTTTTACCCAAGTTCAGACTGGGTGTAGAAAATTTTACCTCTCTGAAGACAAAATGAATACTAACAGAATATACTAATAGAAGAGACAGATGGAAGACTTATATGGGATGTTATATATCAACCTGAAAATTAAACTGTGGAGATAATAATAATCCCAATAATACTGCAATGCAGCAATTAAAAGTGAATAATATCCTGCCTACCTGTACCATATCAAAACCCATGTGACACACGGGACACTCATAGTATTTCTTCTCACTATGGGTCTTCATGTGGCATGCCAGTGCTGAGTTATTCATGAAGCGTTTGTAGCATACAGAGCACGGCAATGGCTTGCTGTCCTCACTGCCGTGACAAAGCATGTGCTTCTCCAAGCGGTCCTCATTACTAAATGCTTTCCAGCACTGCGTACACTTGTATGGCTTCAGGGGGTTGATGAGGCGTGCACGGCGAGATCTGGCATGTGTACCTGGATGAACAATTTATTTTAATTTTCAGTTTTCGAATAGACTAGAGACCATTTCTAAAAATTAAAAAAAATTCAGGCTCATTCTTTATTTTTGCCACTCTTCCAACCTGTCTCAAACTCTCTTGTGATTTCTAGATATCTTAATCTCTTTCTCTCTCTCTCACCTGCATGTTGGATCAGTTCTTGTTTATTGGTAAATTCCAGATCACAAACAGGACACTTCAGACTGGTCCAGGGGATGGTGGCAGAGGCAGAGTCAAACTTCTGCTCAGTTGCCTGCAAGAAAAAGAAAAACAAATCATAAAATAATTCTATTAAGTATCACAGCTTTAATGAAAAAACTCCCATAATGTAACTTTTTTTTACCAATGTCAAAATACCTACAAAACTTACTGAAGACAATGGTATTTTGAAACAATAATGGCAAAAGGTATTTTTCATTTTTGTATAACCTTTTCATGGAATGCGCTGTAAAATGGACAAAATATCAAGTCAAATGAGAAAGTAAAATTAAAACTTTGAAAAATGAAAAAAAAAAAAGAAATACATTTTAATAAACATAAATAAATTTGCCCACTATCCAAAATGTTATGATTATAAAGCTGCACAGTACCTGTGGCAAATCTGAGGTGCCCTCTCCCACCTCCCCGAGTCCCACGTCCTCCGCAGCATGTGTCAGAGTGTGCAGGTTGAGGAGGGTAGCATCGTCAAACGTCAGGTCACAGTGCGTGCACACCCAGCCCGTGCCTGCATTGTTCTGCTTCTTGTACAGAGACTTGATGGAACGCTTGATGGCAGAGCTGTAACGACTCTGCTTTAACCTAACAAATAAAACCACTTGGTACTCTCTTTGTCTTCACAGTTTGCATAAATAGTATCTGATTTTAATGCTCGTCTAATAAGACTGATAATAACAATGATTCTGCTGCTGCTACAGTGTCAGTTATATCTACAGTCTCTTGGAGATTGGGATGTTCAGTGTTCAGTACTTCTTAGGTGCAAATGTTTCTTTAAGTATTTAAAACAAGTTTTATTAATAAGCGTTTCGTGTTTGTCCAACAGTAATATTTCCCAAAACAATTATTCAGTCGACTTATTTATCGATCCCAATACCTACTTGTTGAGATACATGGTTTTCTTCATCTTCTTCCAGGACTGAAAGGTGGAACCATTAGCGCCCTCAGAGATACCTGAGGTGCCAGCGCCTCCCCCTTCTCCCCAAGATGTCTCCTGTAAGAAACAAAATCAAAAGTAACTTCGGCATCTCTATTTTTTAATACACAATCAACCATAATTTGTCTTTTCAAGATAAACAATCAACAATAAGACGCCTTTTCCAAGAAACCCAATCATCAATATGTTGTCTTTTTTTAAAGATGTACAATCAACAATATGATCTCTTTGTGACACACCATCAACAATGAGATGTCTTTGTAAGAAATGCAATCAACAATATAATGCCTCTTGTGAAATGCACAATCAACATAATAAAATTTGATCCTGAACGATACGTCTTTCATAAGACACAATCAGAAATAACATCCTGTACAACTCCTGTACAACCTGTAATTTACAATAAGATTAATACGTATTAGTAAATCAAACTTGATTTCAATCTTTGAAGAGCCAACCTCACCGCTTTAATATCATCTTGTTTCTTGGGTGGTCTCCCTCTTTTTCTAGGTGTGCCAGGTTTTTGAGGAACACTTTTCCTCTTAGAAGACTTGGCGTCCTCCCCATCATCAAATTCAGCACTCTCGTGAGTCAACAGGTGGCGCTGCAGCATAGCAGAGGTCTTGAAACGCTTGTTGCATTCAAAACAGGGCCATTGGTTGTCCATGCCTTCGAGGTCTGAAAAGAAAAAGATTATTAATAAATTAAATTCATATTTTGCACCTTTATGTGTCATGACATCTTGAAACTTAAAGGGGAAAGTTTTAAAAATGTCTAGAAATTATGTCTTTATAGGCATAGCAAACAGCAATAAACCAACTGTTTTAAAGATGTAGGAACAGATTATCATTATAATGATAAAAATTAATGAAATATGTCACTAAGAGGATAGTGCATATAAATTTTTCCAAAGCTAAAGCTTGATCATGCTTCAATAAATCAAAAAATGAATGTTAAAACAAGATCCAACTTCAGCTTATCACTCACTGAGCTGATCTTCCAGGTCAGCCTTAAACACTGGCTTGCCAAGCTTCTCAGCATAGTGGGCAGCATACCACACCTGAAAAAATAAAGTTTATATAAATGTTACTCAGGGCTTTAATATCAGTATTTCTTCTTTAATGAATACCGATGAATATCTTCTATGTTTGGTACATATATCATACACATTTTCAATCAACTTGATGAAAACATCTGATTCATTACAACTTTACAAGTCAAGCGTCTTTAATCCAAATGATATCTTTGTCAATGAAATGTCAATCAAACAATCAATCAAACCAATAAACTGATATGCCAAGCTGTATCCTCCCCAGGGAGGTGAGACTGTCTACAGAGTGCACCAGTGCAAAAATGACCAGGCTTCCTTGACTTGAATATTCATTTCATTTAAATAAATAAATTTACATAATTGTATAACTTCAACCTTCGGGTTGCGATTTTCCAATAAAGATTATTATTATTATTATTATTATAAATCAATGCCCCAGCACTGACCTTCAGTTCCTCCCTGGGTTCAATCTCTCTGGTGACACTGAAGAAGATGTCCTCCCCATGCTGGTAAACCACACAGTTCTGCTCCTTGAAGTTCTGAGCCGCTCTCACAAACATCATCCAGTTACACTTGTTCTCATCTGACGTGTTGAAGTACATCTCCTGGCTGTCTGCTTTGATAAGCTGGAGAAGTGAACATATCATAGATATCAGCTATTTAACATAAGTACACCTCCTGGCTGACTGCTTTGATAAGCTGGAGAAGTGAACATATCACATATATCAAGGAGAACATCTCCTGTTAAACAACAGCTCTACACTTTTTCTCCTATATTATATCATGTTAATCAGACCATGGAATTATTTTTCCTACCTGTAGAGGAAATTCCTTATTGGTGACACTGTCCATGTCTGGGACAAGCTCTCCTACAAATGGACCAAACTGGGTTCTCTTTGGTACCATCTTTTTGGCAAATACACCTATGGCATCTGGAACAAATGGTGTAAAATGTGTGAAATATGGGCATTTTTTCCTCACAATGTAATTATTAAAGAGCAGGCATAAACTGTAAAGACTGCTGCACTTGGTTATGTAAATAGAGGCCATTATTAAATCTAATTTTAATCATGTACATGTACATGTTTACAGTACTGGGACAAAAGTTCAGTGTAGATTTAAAATTTAACTAATATCATCATTACCATTAATAGGAGTCAGTTATTTGTCGAAATAAATAAATAAATATCCAAACTCACTTGGGTCATCAGCTATTCTGAAGATCTGCAGCATTCCAGGTAGACTGGACCATGCCCTGGACAGCACTACCTTGTCATAGACAGGGAGCAGTCTATGTGCTGTACACTCACTCTCATAGCTCTGCTGGCACTCCTCACACCCTGCAATATACAACAATAAGAACAGTAGTCTGTGTGCTGTACACTCACTCTCATAGCTCTGCTGGCACTCCTCACATTCTGGAATATATGACAACAACTACAGCTTAATTTTTATTTTAAAAAAATCTGAAAACAAGGTGTAATGAAATTTCACACAATTTCATGGCACATACCCTTCATAACCCACACCAAAATATTCAAATCAATGAAAATACAAGCAGTGTTTGATCCTATAAACTTACACAATTCGCTGGTGTTGTAAGGCTTTGAGACATACTGTGGTCTGACAGGTGGACCTGTATCCTTCTCAATACTCAGTAAGCGGGAGGATTTTCTGGTCTGAAAAAACAAACATAAGAGCTGAAGTGCGAAACAGATACTTAAAAGTTGTTGTGTAATTTTTCTCTTTTTTGTGTATGTTTTATTTTCTTTTTTCCACCTAACCCAAAGAGACAGTCCACAGTGACGGGGGAGGCTAGAAAAATCAAAATAAAATCTAACTGCTTTCTACGGAGATAAAATAGACCTTTTTAATAAAGTTTAAAAATGCAGGCATCAAAGACTCTACGTTCGGAATAAATTCAACTTGCAAATTTCCCAATAAATCCTGAATACTTTAATCTCCAAATTCTTTCAGGTCTCTTTTTTCCCCTTTTCTCACCAACAATCACCCTATGGCGATGCAAACTCAAATATTTTTAGATCAACTTTTGAAAAAAGTTTTGAGCCCATAAACTTTTCTTTGGCTAATAATTCCTCTTTTACATAAGAGTTTAAATCCCTGTTTATAACATACTTACTGGCCTAGACCAACTTGCTGTGGCTTGGTCAATATTGCTGTCGTCATCCACATTCAGATCTCCATTCATAAAAGAACTATCAACACCTTCATTTGTGGTTGCTGAAATATTAAATTTAGGTTTTCAGTCCCCTTTTAAAACTGACAAAATGACATTTCTCAAAGTGACAAGCAGCTGTCAAAAACACATCATATAACATGCTACAGTGAGTCAAACATACTAAAATGATTTACTGCTACAATGTACTTACAAATTAACCAATTAAATCAGAAATCCCATAGCAATAAAAAAACAGGATACTATGAAACAAGGCTGCCAGAACTGATGCCATACAAGAAATGCTAGAAATACTAGAAAAGATGCAAAAATTCCTCCTAAATACAAAAAGATCATGTGAACTCACAGTCATCTATCCCTGTGGTGTCAATATTGCCAGTGGTCTCCACATCTACAGAGTCCTCTCCCACTGAGGCCTGCTCCAACATGTGATGCTGCCCTGAACTGACTGGCATGGATGAGTCCAAACCAGCCAGGTTGTTCACTTCAGAGTCGTCAAAATCATCTGTAAATAATATTGGACAAGGAATAGTAACTAGACATGAACAAATGAAACAAAGACATCACTTCACATTTTCTAATTATGTCTTTTTGTATCTTCTCAACCTTGACAAATGTATATTAAAGGCTTTGAAGATTAAAAAAAGAATAAAATTTTATTAGTTTTTAAAGATTTGATAAAATTAGAGATCATGTACGGAGAAAGATACGTGGTAAATTGATCCAAAAAAGGTGCCTGGATACAGTTATTTACTTCATGAATATGCTAATACCAATGTTTATTGAGTAATTAGTGACAAAATATCAAAAACCACAATTAAAGTCTATTTAAACAGGTAAAATTTATCTCTGACACCTTTTAAATACACNTCACATATATCAAGGAGAACATCTCCTGTTAAACAACAGCTCTACACTTTTTCTCCTATATTATATCATGTTAATCAGACCATGGAATTATTTTTCCTACCTGTAGAGGAAATTCCTTATTGGTGACACTGTCCATGTCTGGGACAAGCTCTCCTACAAATGGACCAAACTGGGTTCTCTTTGGTACCATCTTTTTGGCAAATACACCTATGGCATCTGGAACAAATGGTGTAAAATGTGTGAAATATGGGCATTTTTTCCTCACAATGTAATTATTAAAGAGCAGGCATAAACTGTAAAGACTGCTGCACTTGGTTATGTAAATAGAGGCCATTATTAAATCTAATTTTAATCATGTACATGTACATGTTTACAGTACTGGGACAAAAGTTCAGTGTAGATTTAAAAATTAACTAATATCATCATTACCATTAATAGGAGTCAGTTATTTGTCGAAATAAATAAATAAATATCCAAACTCACTTGGGTCATCAGCTATTCTGAAGATCTGCAGCATTCCAGGTAGACTGGACCATGCCCTGGACAGCACTACCTTGTCATAGACAGGGAGCAGTCTATGTGCTGTACACTCACTCTCATAGCTCTGCTGGCACTCCTCACACCCTGCAATATACAACAATAAGAACAGTAGTCTGTGTGCTCTACACTCACTCTCATAGCTCTGCTGGCACTCCTCACATTCTGGAATATATGACAACAACTACAGCTTAATTTTTATTTTTAAAAAATCTGAAAACAAGGTGTAATGAAATTTCACACAATTTCATGGCACATACCCTTCATAACCCACACCAAAATATTCAAATCAATGAAAATATAAGCAGTGTTTGATCCTATAAACTTACACAATTCGCTGGTGTTGTAAGGCTTTGAGACATACTGTGGTCTGACAGGTGGACCTGTATCCTTCTCAATACTCAGTAAGCGGGAGGATTTTCTGGTCTGAAAAAACAAACATAAGAGCTGAAGTGCGAAACAGATACTTAAAAGTTGTTGTGTAATTGGGATTTTTGAAGTCTTCTTTTCTCTTTTTTGTGTATGTTTTATTTTCTTTTTTCCACCTAACCCAAAGAGACAGTCCACAGTGACGGGAAGAGCTAGAAAAATCAAAATAAAATCTAACTGCTTTCTACGGAGATAAAATAGACCTTTTTAATAAAGTTTAAAAATGCAGGCATCAAAGACTCTACATTCGGAATAAATTCAACTTGCAAATTTCCCCATAAATCCTGAATACTTTCATCTCCAAATTCTTTCAGGTCTCTTTTTTCCCCTTTTCTCACCAACAATCACCCTATGGCGATGCAAACTCAAATATTTTTAGATCAACTTTTGAAAAAAGTTTTGAGCCCATAAACTTTTCTTTGGCTAATAATTCCTCTTTTACATAAGAGTTTAAATCCCTTTTATAACATACTTACTGGCCTAGACCAACTTGCTGTGGCTTGGTCAATATTGCTGTCGTCATCCACATTCAGATCTCCATTCATAAAAGAACTATCAACACCTTCATTTGTGGTTGCTGAAATATTAAATTTAGGTTTTCAGTCCCCTTTTAAAACTGACAAAATGACACTTCTCAAAGTGACAAGCAGCTGTCAAAAACACATCATATAACATGCTACAGTGAGTCAAACATACTAAAATGATTTACTGCTACAATGTACTTACAAATTAACCAATTAAATCAGAAATCCCATATAAAAAAAAAAATCCAGGATACTATGAAACAAGGCTGCCAGAACTGATGCCATACAAGAAATGCTAGAAATACTAGAAAAGATGCAAAAATTCCTCCTAAATACAAAAAGATCATGTGAACTCACAGTCATCTATCCCTGTGGTGTCAATATTGCCAGTGGTCTCCACATCTACAGAGTCCTCTCCCACTGAGGCCTGCTCCAACATGTGATGCTGCCCTGAACTGACTGGCATGGATGAGTCCAAACCAGCCAGGTTGTTCACTTCAGAGTCGTCAAAATCATCTGTAAATAATATTGGACAAGGAATAGTCACTAGACATGAACAAATGAAACGAAGACATCAATTCACATTTTCTAATTATGTCTTTTTGTATCTTCTCAACCTTGACAAATGTATATTAAAGGCTTTGAAGATTAAAAAAATAATAAAATTTTATTAGTTTTTAAAGATTTGATAAAATTAGAGATCATGTACGGAGAAAGATACGTGGTAAATTGATCCGAAAAAGGTGCCTGGATACAGTTATTTACTTCATGAATATGCTAATACCAATGTTTATTGAGTAATTAGTGACAAAATATCAAAAACCACAATTAAAAACTATTTAAACAGGTAAAATTTATCTCTGACACCTTTTAAATACACATCAGCTCACCTTCCTGGTTAATACATGTAGGGCTGTCTCCTTGGGTGGTGTCTGGCTCATTTTGGTAACTCTCCAGTCTCTCTAACATTGGAGCCTTAAAACATAAGAAACCTTAAGAATAACACCATACATCTATGACATTTTTTTGAGACTTAATGAAATACCACATTTCTGAATAATGTTTATTACAGCTGCAACTCATAATAATCATAAAAATCATATTTCAGAGCTGTGCTTATGTTGCTCAGCAACAGTATAGAACATTAGAAGTAAACAATTCATCCTTACAGCTGGTTGCTTAGCAATGGTTCATTGCTCATACATAGCAACATAAAACCAAGAACTCGACTTACCCTAACTGGTGGTTGCTGGGCAGCAGCCTCATTGCCTAGCACCAGGTTCAGGGAGCTGACTGTCTGATCCACTTCTTGGTCTGCATTACCATGGACCACCAAAGGTGAAGCCTCTGACGTCCCTGCTTCAACATGGCTGCTGTAGGAAGGCCCCGCTTCCATGTGACCTCCATAGGTGGCACCAGCCTCGCTGTGATTGCTGATCATAGAGCTATGTCCTCCTGTTCTCTGATGATGAGCAGAGAAAGAAGCCGTGGCCTCCCCCTGTGTCATCAAGGAATGCAGAGTGGGATGGGACGAGGCTGTGGTCAGGGTCGGGTTTAACATTGCCATTGCTCCTGACGAGACAGAGTCCTGAAACAAGCAACAAAAAGTTGAGCAGTGTTAAGTTTCCTCTTGCTTATTTGAAAGCTTTCTTTTTCTTCTGTCATAAACAAAATTAAAATAAAAAATTTAAAAAAAGAGGGGAAAGTTTTTTTTTCCAAATTATAAATTCTTCCCCTGGTATGCTGAAAGCAATTTTTTTCTCAGCTCTGTGATCAAAATTATTTCCAAACATTTCAAAAATATTTAAGAACTAGCTTAATTTTCATCTGTCTAAAAATGATAAATACAAATTAAGACACTTAAAAAAATCCTATACCACAGGCATAAGGTGAGATTGCACTGTGTCTGCCTCCCTGGCCAAGCCAAGATCTGATTGGTTCCTGGAAAGGGTGGAGGTCACATTAGAGCTCAGTTCTGATTGGCTCCTGCTGGGGGTCATGACTCTTGGTACAGAGGATGACACTGGCTGGAGCAGCTGAAGGTTTGTATAGCTGGCCTGCAATCAAATACAGCATTCATAATCATCATCAACATCAACAGCAGCAATAGAGGATTGGTATTAATAAAATCGATGCATTGTGCTTGGAGAATGAATTGTTGGGGGAAGTTTAAACTTGTCAGGCAAGCCACAGAAGTGAGGAAGCTACACAGGAGAAAAAGTAGGAAGCATCCACCTTGCAAGATCCGAGTACAGATGGCCAACCACAATCAAAAGTATTCCCAAAAACCCAATACCAAATTTCCAAAATGGCCAGAAAAAAACAAATAAAAACTAAAACACAGAAATGGGCAAAATTTTGAAAGAAACAATGAAAGGGGGTATTTTAAAACCCTCACTCCATCTTGGAAATCCATGGAATCCCTGCCAACATCAGCTCCCCTGGACAAGTGATAGTAAATTTTCCAACTACTAAAGCAAAGACGACCCTCCATTTTATCATTTTAGCATCAGTGTCAAAAAGAAAATTAGGGTAAAATGTGGAAGCAAAAAGGGACTCTGCATTTGTTGTCCTACCTGCAATGTCCTGTGAATGTTTGGGTCCAGCACCTGCAGCGGGATGACATGTCCCTCCTGGTAGGCATGCATGATGTCACCACCACCAGATGTCGCCTCTTGGTACTCTGTAGAGGGCGCCAAGCGGTCAAATGTCGTATGTGGCAACTGGAACACAGCTGACTGACCCGTGGGCAGTGTGATGCGATAGGGAAGGTTACTCCCATCTGTTAGCTGGAGGACAAAAATTGAGTGAAGTAAAAGGTTCTGTTCAGTGTCTTCAATATACCTTAAAAACTAACTTTTGAAATATGTAAAAAAAAGAATGAAAAATAAGGAAGATAATTAAAAAATAAAAGACATCCCTGCACTGCAGTTAAGTTCAAAATCAAAACAAATATTCAATATACAGTAATTGATAAATTTTGATTAAAAAAAAGTAAAAACATTCAGACAAACCCCAGCGTTTGACTACCTGAAATTGCTGCCCATCAAACTGTGCATGAGAAAATCCTGGCAGCTCTTGCTGCTGGGACACCAGACCATGAACGCTGGGCGTGAACGACCCACTGCTCACGGAGGTCACATGCTGAGAGTCGCGTGACCAACTGGACGATGGTCCTGCATGGTCATCTCCTCCTGGATCCATGGTGAGATGGGTAGGAATCCTGCAATGATGATATATAGGGAATATATATATATATATATATATATATATATATATATATATATATATATATATATATATATATATATATATATATATATGCACGTGGGGTACTAGTACATATTGTTTTTCTTATATACTTTTTCACATTTTCAAAATCTTATAGCATACTTGATAAAACATTTTTCTACTTCATAACTGCATTCATTTGGAAACCTCTGGTATTCTTGCTAGCTTATCACAAAAATCAAAATCAAGAAAATTTTTGAAGAAATGATAATCTTTTCTTAAGTTTACCTGCTTTCCATTTGGTATACTTTGTAAAACAGTGGTTTTAATTTATTAATCGTTTTAATTATTTTTCATTCAATTTTAAATATCCTTTATAAATTTGGTAATATTATATACCAACTTTATTTTGAAGGGTTGGAGTGAAGACAAACTATATAATCTTTTTGTCCGTAGAAGAAAGTCTGTGTTTAGGCACATTTGTTTAGTCTGTATTGACCATAATATTAAATTGAAAAGTCATAAGAAGGGGTATATACTGGGAGTATGGTAGAAAAGTTGGGCATTTTGGACTTCATACTGGTTATAAAACTAGATTCAGAAAAGGGAAGGAGACAAAGAAGGAATACAAATGTTCAGGCTAATAAAAGTATAATTCCTCAGGTCAAAGAACTAAGGTCAGGGGCAAGTGAGATAAAATAAGTGCAGTGTTAAAAGTGCACATGGTACAAAAACTTCCACCTCAACATTTCTGGACCCCTGCACCACATAGAGCACGTGCCGAATGTTAATGAAAAGTATTCAGTACTTATTCAGATGTAGTGCCACAACCGTTGTTGTAATAATTCGCAAAGATTTGTCTAATAAAAAGTAATGATAAGACTCTTCTAATAATGACATAATGCAAGTGGAAAAGATATTAACCAGTTTTGTGAGCTCTGTATTGTTGCACGCAAATCTCAGCAAGGACAACAAAATGGCGTCAGGCTTGCGCCATTTGATTACACTGTAAAATCTAGACATTTTCAAGCCTGTGAAACCTTATTTAAATGCAAACAGTTGTTTTAAACTCGCTATAGAGATGGAGCATGTCGGCGAGGCAAACAACACCAGTAGTGTTTGACCCAGTTGTGAGTCAAGAGTGGATAGGAAGGTTCCAACAGGACAAAGGCGAGTGGGGTGGGGGTGACGGCTGAGCCCAACTTTCAACTTTTAATTCACGGCTCACTTGCAGAATGACGCACAATTTTTTCACTCATAAGACTAAAAATATTTAATATATTATAACACGAGCAAAACGCTTTCATCCTTACATTTTATTTTGCAGATATTACATTTATTATATTGGAATTAATTATGTCCCACCTACCTGAATTCCTCTCCAAGTCTCGTAACCTCTCGCACTTTTCCTAAACTCTCGCAGGTCTTTGCCTCTTTTTCAAACTGTGTCATCATGGTGGAGCCGTTCGAATCCGAGCTGACGATAGTGCAAATATATGACAAAACATTTGAATTAAAAGAAACTAACGATTGTTTAGATTGTGCAAATGACCAATAATCTCAAGATGTCGAACAGAAAACCCGAATTATACCGCTGGAAGCGTATATCTGAGCCTAAAATGGTATACTCTAGGTCCCAGGTAAGATCCCCAAAACAAACATTGAAACACCTGGAACTTCAGATGTCAAGTCAAAGAAGCTACTTTAGCCAAGAAATGATACACAGTGAAACAGTATTTGCGCTGGAAATTGGATTGCATAATCATTCGCATAGCTTTCCCTACACTGTTTCCAACCCTTTTTACACAAGGTGTCACACATTTTTGATACAAAATAGCTTTTCAAAACAAGATTTTTCTTTTTTGTAAGTATTATATTGTATACATTATTTATTTTTGTCAATTTTTCTTTTTTGTCATTTTAGAAAGTTACAACCACAGATGATGTTCAGGATTGGATAAAGGTAAAAAAAGCTGTGTTATTAGTTATGGTTCACAATACTTACAGGGATTATAATATTAGCGGGGGAATAAAAACTATCAGATCGAAAAAATTGGCAGAAGCCTTTACATGCAACCATGTCCTAGTGCTTTGTAAAGTTTTCTTTGAACTTCTGTGATTTTTAAAATAATTTTTACATTTATTTTCAAAACCCACTTGGCTAGAGATGAACTATGTTTAATTCTATACACACATGATTTTCTGTCTGTTCCAGAAAGTGGAAGATGCTTCAAATATGGCTGCGGCTGCCACATTCGGTATACAATATGGTGGAGGCAGAAACTTAGGCAAAGCCAAGGCAAACAAAGTCACATCTCTTTTGAGAGAAGATGATGCTGCCTTAACTGAAGGTAGATAGAATAGTGGGACATTTGTTCACTGGTTCCTTCGGTGAAGATATAAGTCTTTAAAGTATAATTATTACCTGATGAGTTATAGCTATGTCTGTATAAAATATAGTTCCAATGTTTTCATTTGACTCTCAGCCCAGGACCTGCTCACCCAGTGGATGAGTGACAAAGTCGATGTGGATGCAGAGTTGGAGTATGTGGAAGAGAAAAGCAGGCGATCACTGGTGGTGGAAAACTCCGTCAAAATGGAGTGGGACCACCTACTGCAGGATGCTGGGATAGAAGGCCTCAGCACAGATGACAATGGAGACTTTAAGTTGCCAATGCCTGCAGAGGGTATGCTCTAAAGTTGCTTACTTATCAATAGCTATAAATGCTGAGGTTGTGCTTTATTTGTATTTAAGAACCTTTGAATGTCATTGGTTTTACCAAAGTAATATCTATTTCTGAGTCAAGTTTGAGTCAAGCATGGATAGTTGTTACATTAATTATTATTCTTTTACAGGAGGTCAAACCTGATGGATACTGGTGTAATTTATACCATGTTTGATAATTTTGTAAAGTTTTTAATTACATGAAGTACAGTAAAATGTGTATTTTTTCTGATATTATTTGAAACTCTTACATTGTCAGCAAATATACAGCTTCAATTTACTAAATAAAACTTGAAGAGTATTTGAATTCTTGTGCTGTTTAGGACATTTTGTTTGTATAAACCATTGATTCTTTTGTCCCACAGAGATCATCCCTGCCTTTTAAAAAATAAGGTGCATTTTGATCTCTGGTCCTCCTATGGAAATGTTCATAACCAAATGTAATACACAGTGCTCTCTCTCCCAGATCCCTACACAGCTATTGAGCACCAAGATGAAGACATCCTGGTGGACAAGATCATGAGGAGCTTGATGGAGAAGGAGGTGGTGCCACAGACCTTTGTCAATGACCTGGGATTTAATGAGACAAAGAAACAGAAAGACCCCAGGGTGAAGATGCAGGTCAGGCACCAGCAGGTATGGTTTACATGACCCATTCTGGAACAACAACAACAACAATAATAATAATAGTAGTACTAGTAATAGTGATAATAATCAAATCTGAATATCAGTAATGATGATGATGAAAAACAATAATAATGATAATGTTTTTTAATTAACAGCATACTAATTAACAAAAGATTAAAATTAGATTCAAAACTACATTTTTGTGTTGTTGCTGTGTACATGTGTATGAAGTAGGTTAGACTTAAACCTGATAGTCTTTATACAAGATCCGTGTTTTGCAAAAGGCTTGATGAGTTCATCTCAGTGTTGTTACTCTAAAAGTAGCTATCACCAAGTTTTTGATATTTATGTTTTACTGAATATGTTTTTGTTGATTTTTACAGGTGAAAGAGAATAGAGAGAAAAGGGAGCGAGAACTGGAGAAACAGAGAAGAGAAAGGCAGGCTAAGAAAGACGCCCATTTTCAAGCACAGCAAATGATACTGAGGGTATGACTTTGTGCTATACACTTAAAAGAAACATGCATATTGGAGAATTTCAAAGAATTTTATATGTTATAACTTTTTTCTGTCTCTTTTTTTCTCACAGAGTCGGTATAATACCATAAAATAGCAGGTTAAATCTAAAGCTGTTATTGTTAAAGGGCTATTTTACAATCTTGGTAATCTCATGGGTGAATTCATAATATATTTTGATGTTTTTAAACAAAATAAGATATAGCCATATGAATCATTTATTCAGGAAGAGAAAGAAAAGAACATGCGTGCCAAAAGAGAAGAGCTAGAACTTCAGAAAGAGATGGCAAGAATCAGAAAGCAAATGCAGGAGGAGAGAAAGAAGGAAGAAGAGAGGAAGTTGAGGTATTTTGATATCAGTTTCTGTGCACAAATGTTGCATTTGTATGTATATTTCATTTACCAAAATCATTTGTGTATCAGTGCCCAATGTGCACATTGCTTATTTGATTACTTGGCTTTCAAAACTGAAATGCTGGGGAATCCATAATAATTGTTTTGACAACACAGAATGCCCTTTTGAAATACAAATTTGTGGTTAAGGTACATCTTGTACCCTTTCCATAATGTTCACTTCGTACTTAAAATTATTTCATTTTGTGAACAGAAATATGGTATTGATTTGTGTGTGTTTGTCTTTGATATTCTTTTGGGGTTATTGGTTTGGATTTCAAAGACAAAGGTGTACAAGTTTAACCTTCCATGATGTGAGTAATATGTGGTTTTGCAATCTGTTTTAATTTTAGAGAAAAGCAGCAGAGTGAGCTGTTAGAGCAGCAGGCGCGGGAGGAGTTTGAGAGGCAGAGGGAGGAGGAGGAGAGGAGACAGATGGAACACTTGAAAAAGATCGATGAAAAGAGAGTACAACTGATGAAAAGACTAGAGGAGGTGGAGAAAAGGAAAGCTGCTGATAATTTAAAGGTATGAACAGAGTAATTTTATGTGTTCACGATTTCTAATTATCAGAGACCTTGAAATTGTTTCAGCTGATATGCAGTACTTGCATTCTAATAAGAAAGGTCAGTGGACCAGCCCCCTTTCTGTAGTGCAACAGATTTATTCTATATTACATACCAAAAACCTTGTTACAGCAAAAACTAGGGAAATTTAATCAGGGAAATTTAATGAGGGTAAATTTGATTCTGATCATGATTTAGAAAAATATAAAACTAGTGAAATTAAATAAGAGAAGATTGAAGTCTGATTCTGATTTATATGTTCCAGATCCTCCACAAACATTTCTCTGCCTGGTACAATGTGGTCCTGGAGAAGAGGATAGCCATGGGCAAGGTGAAGGCCATGGCAGACTGGAAGTGTTTATTGCGTGCCTGGAACGCCTGGAAGACCTTTGTGAGAGCCAAGAGACTGGAGAGGGAGGCACAACACTATGAACAAGACTTGAAGAATTATCACAGGTAAGTACAGAATATTTATGAGTTGTATACTTTGGTGCGTGCCTACATTGGTGTATTTATTGTGATCAGGTTGGTACACTTTTTAAATTATGAAGGCAAATTGATGTTATGGTTTTTACGCTGTGTATTTCTGTTTCATTACACCTTTTCCTCTCATTAAAACTTAATACTATGAAGTGACCCATAGTGATTTTGGTGCAACTTTTTTTCGATCTTCTGTTGCACCATTTTAGATCATATTTGATTAAGCCAACAAGAAAGAAAAATTAAATGAACTTGATACTATGTGTATGAATTAATGTTATAGAAGAAATATATTTATAAAAATTAAATGATTATGCACTCATCTCTTATTCAATTTTTATAATAATTTTTTTCCAGAAAAGTTCAGCAAGCCGAGTCCCACCACAGATCACAGTTACTTTTCAGGTATTTCCATGCTTGGCAGATGTGGCTGAAACAGGAGCAGTTAGATAGGCAGGCGGCCAATGAACAGAGCAGGCTACAGTCCAAGATGGCGGCTCTGTTGGATGCAGCTGCTACTGGTCGCCTCTGGAGCAGTAGACAGGAGGGGGAGGGTGTTGCCAGTGGTAGCAGTCACAGACCAGAGTCAGCGAGAGAGAAAGTTGTAAGTGGTTTTAATGGAATACATTAACTCTTATGTTAAGCTTTGGCTTGAAGGTTTAAGGATACTTAAAGAGAGGTTTGCTGTGATGTAGACTTGACATGTTTTTATAATAGTTCACAATGCTGGCACCTATTTTCACACTGGTGCAAAATCTTTGAATCTGCTTCCATGCATTCCACAGTGCTTATAAATTTTTAAGTATCCATAAATCTAAAGTGCTATGTAAGCCTGCTAGTCTCTAATGTTCACAAATTCTCTGGATTTTTATGTTCTCTCTCTTATTCTTATTTTAGTTTTTGGGTATTTTGTGCAGCTTGATTTACTCCCTGGGTCTCTGGTCCTGTCATCATGCTAATACGAGGGTTTTTATCTTTTTACTAAGGATGCATTGTTTGAGCAACCTGCCAGACCCAGACCCCAGTCAGCCAGGAGTAGTACCAGTACCTTGGATTCATTCAAGGTCCCAGCTGCTAAGAAAGCCTGGCAGCCTCAACCAGCCACAGTTCCCACACAACCGTGGCAGGTCACAAAGAAACATGTTCATCTCAGCAAAAAGGAATTGGCTGCTATGGGCAACCATGACAACCAGTCTAATCCCCATGACAACCCACCTGGTCCCCATGGTGATTATGTAGATAACCAGTCAGATGGCCAGAAGAGCGATGGGAGAACCAATCAGAAAAAAGCACCATGGCAGAGGGAGCCTTTTATGGTTAATAGCCATAGTCATAGAACTGAAGCTCAGAAAGAAATGCTCAAGAAACAGAGAGAACAGATACAGGAACAGCAGAAAATGATAGAGGAACTACAGTTCCAGCAGAACCAGTTAATTCTTCAACAACAGCTGAAAACTCAGAGAACAATCAGAGAACAGCTCAATCAGATGACTATTGCTGATGTCACAGACGAACAAATGAAAAAGATGAATAAAGAGCCAGAGAAAACTGACAGAAGTGGAGGTTCCACTGCAAGGTACCATGCTTGGCTCATTGCCCTAACATCTCTTTACAGTTGGACATGTATGTAGAACACAATGTATAGTATCTTTCACTGAATTGAAAAGACATTTATAGTAGCAGCTATGCAGATAAACCACAGTATATAAAGCACCTTGAATACTTGTTTCATGCATTCAGATTCAGGGCAGGATGTATGCCACCAGTATTGTGGTTTAGCTCATTGTTATTACTAATAATATTTTGATTTCATGTGATTAAAAAAATGCTCATTTTTCTTTAGGTCGGCTGTCAGTGAGTCCTCTGAGAAGAGTGACAATACAGCTGCTTCCAAGAAGAGCATGGCATCTTCTAAATTTCTCAAGAGTAAGATAATTTTAGGAAATGTCTGTCCATATAAAACCTGTGTAGAAAATAAGACCAGTTAGTCAAGTGTCCAAAAAAATTACTTGTTCTCATCTTATTTTCATAAATTAGGCAGTGCCTTAATTGCAATTTTCTGTTGCTTTCATTATTTAAGATTACGGGAATATCTTTGTAGCATTTATTCAAGTTAATTTCAAATAGTTAAATTTTTTTCTGACATAGGTATAAAAATTTAGTCCCATTAAGTTGTGACTCCCTTATTGCTTAAACCAAATGACGGAAAAACTTGTCAAAAATTGTCGTAGTTTCAATTGCAGTTTAACAGACTGTAATAAGAATTTTTGGTAACTGCAATTTGTGCTTTTATGTCTGGTTAGACTTCAACAAGCTTGATGGCTTTCAAAACCAACATTTCAGACATGGAGGCCCGTTCAGCAGAGAGGGCAAGGCTGAAGGCGGAGAGAGAGGAGAGGAAGAGAAAAGCTGAAGAGGAACAATTGGTAGGTGGTAAATGTATATAAATATTAAAAATATGAATTTTAGATATTGAACACTGATACTTTTGTCATGTCATTTGTACTTAAAACTTTTATTTTTAAGTTTATCCTTAATGTCTCATTTTAGGCAAAACTTGAACAAGAAGCAGAAGAGAGAAGACTACAGGAGGAAGAAGAAAAAAGGGCTAGAATAGAAGCAAGGAAGGAACAAAAGAGATTGGAGAAACAGGTAAAATAATCAGGTTCTACAGGTAATCACAAGTTCACTAAGATTGGTCCCAAATACTGGTAAGTCATCTATTTAGTATGCAAAAAGGAAAGAAAGATTATCAGATGTATATAGATTTACTATAAATCTATAGTCCTAGGTGTACTAGGACAGCAAGTGTAATCCAGTGAAATTTTGTAATGTAACAGATTGTGATTTATAACACCAGGTGACTGCTGTCTGCAATATTAAAACTGATTTCACACTGATAGACCGTTGACAGTCAATTGAAGCTGGGATGGTCAAATTTTGTAAATTCCTTCAGTTACTAGCAACGGTTTATATTTTGGGTCAGAAGATTCTTAGACCATGGAGCCTTGAAGACTAGTAGGCTACACAATTTTTGACTCAGACTGGCTGTGTCAGTCCTTGCAGTATTACTAACTTACTTCAAAATTTGATTTACACTGTAGAATTAGACTGAACTGGTCAGTGACCATCTTTCAGAGAGAGCTGGAGAAGCAGAAGATGGTGGAGAAGGCGCAGCAACAGATGAAACAGGCTGAGGAGCACTACAGGCTGGCTTTGCTGAAACATAAAGGTTAGAAATGATAAATGTACTCTGGAAACTCAATGAGAGAAGACATAAGTGAATCAAAAAAGGGAGATAAATGCATTTGCACACAGACATATGCACACACTTTTAATAAATCTTGTTTTTTGAGTGCCAAAAGATGTCTGTGTTGATAACGTTCAGATATATACTCAGACTGTGCCTCTTTTATTTGTAAAATATGGAATAAAATAATGTCTCAAGGTTGACTGTCCTTTCATCATAGTAACCTGTTTATTTGTGTTCCAGGTTTTCTCCCGTGGCGTAAGTTAATGGACATGTCCAGAAATAACATGGAAGTTGCAGTGGACCATGCTAACACAGTGCTTTTACGGTACATGACCTTATGTGTCATACTTTGTATATTTTTCAACTCCTGTCTTTCTGTGTCATTGATATCTAGAGAGACGGCATAAACAATCTCACCTGATTTACACACACATACATTTCATTTTTTACGCTTACGAAAGCTTAATCCACAATATACATTTACTGTTTGGAAATTACGGACTAAGAACATTTTTCAGTTTGCTAGTTACAACATATTATCAAACCGTCAACATTGGATTGTTAAATCTGACAAAAGGGTAAAAAAAATTACTTGTGACATAGCAATGGCATAAATATTTGCAGTAATGTCAGTTTTAATCATATCTTTTAGTGTCTGACCTTTTGTAATTTTTTCATATCTCTCAGATTTTGATAAAGTTTTATATTAGTAGGAAAGATGAACAAGATGAGCTGAAGATTAACTTTATTTGATTCAGAAATTGCCTCCTGTCGTGGCACGCCCACACCAAGGAGGTGAATGAAGAGAAGACTGAGATGGCAGATGAAATGGCAAAGTTCTTGATCAGTAGAAGATGCTTCAATAACTGGAAACAGGTGAGTATGTATTACCCTGTTGTAGGGTGTATGTCATTGTGTTTAATACAGGAGATTGGAAAAATTGGTGTGGACAACTTGTATTTTAGCTTTGTAACCATTGCTTACATTTTGTAGAGGCTTACTGTATGTTGAGGCATACAGTATTGTTTACTTACAGGAGTGTTTTCTTTTTACTGATTAAAGTATTTTCTGTGTTCTACAAATTACATGAACCTTTATATCACTTAGATCTTGAGTGTTTGGTTGATGATATTCAAGCTGTTTTATGGTAGCACACACACATACACACAAAAGAGAGAAGCTTGTTTTCTGTTTGCCGTAAAAATATATTTTCTCCTAATATAATCACCTTCTTATTCCTTTTTTCAGTATGGCAGATATATGACAATATTAGAAGAGAAGGCAGACAGATTCTATGTACGCCACCTACAGGTGAAAATCCTTCGTGCCTGGGCTGAGCATGCTTCTGATGAGAAGTTTGCAGGGTGGGAAAGAGACAGGATAGCAAAGGAGCATAATGAATGGTAAGATTATGCAAAGGTCACACCATCAGGTGCACATACACATGTAAAGAGTTGGAGGGAGGTCCTCACCAAAATTAGACAAAAAAAATTAATAACATTTGCACAGGAACTGTTAATTTTATCAATTTGTTTTGTAATTACACTTCATTTAAGTTATTTTCACCTGTTGGTGGCACATATAGAATTTTCTATTTCAGGCGGCTGTTAAACTCAGTACTAAAGGCCTGGAAAGAATTCCCCAAGATGCTGAAAGCAGAGCGCGAGAAGGAGAGAAGAAGGGAAGAAATGAGAAAGAAAGTTGCATCTATACTTCCAGATTTCGAAGGACTTCCTTAAAGAGATATTTTGTACTACAGTTATAAAAGGTCTGTGATACTGTGACATTGTCTTAACTATGTCTGTGAGTATATATGTTTTCCTTTAAAGAAGGGATGCATACTTTCACTCTTCTGGATGTAATTTAAAACCACCAGATAGATAATATTCTCAGCTGTAAGCTTATGTGTTGCTTGCAAGTGATTTATCTTAGCTGAAAAAGTTGTAAAGTTATGTGCCCACAATATTTAGAAATTATCAAATATTTTAAAGTGATATCAGTCATAGATATGGCATTGCAGCAGATATATTAAATTTTGTTATTTGTAACGCTCTTACAGCTATATTAGTTTTGTTTTATTTTCAAAGGATGTTTGTGACAGGATTAGAATCAGAGTGACTTTGTGATCTCATATTTGCTAATTAATTTTTTATGGCCAGTGATTTGTATTTACTTTGATATAATAATACAGAAATGATCTCATGTGCAAAAGTTTAAAAAAAGCAGTTATAACAGCATGGTAGCTTTAAACGATTAAGCTTATTGCGTAGAAATGGAGGTATTATTTTGTGAACTATTTTAGGATTATTTTATAACCTTCTCCAAGTGTTGGAGGTTATGAGATCCAACTTAATATTCATGGTTGTCTGCTCGTCTGTACACATTCCAAATTACTTTTACAGTCTGTCAGATAATTTTAGTGGTGGAATTGGTAAAAAGCAAAGATAAACCTACACAGTAGTATCCTCATGCTTCTAATAGTGGTGGTGGGGGTCTCCATAGTCTTAGTTTGATTCCACTCCATCTTCATGCTCAGAGCTAAGCAGTTATGGTGAAAAGTTGTGTTTAGCAACTAGTTTTCGACTGAATTTTTTTAATGTTGCCTGGCATCACAACTGATTTCCTGGCCCTTAGTTGCACAGATGCATGGTGTCAAAATGATGTCTCAGTATGATACATTTTGAGGCATTTGTAGCCGAATATAGAATGACACGTACACTATACTGTATCTCATTCACCATGTTCTTTATTCTCAATGCAGAAATACATTACATACATTATACATCTGATGAGTGACAAACAACCGAAAAATGATGAAGAAAGTCACCCAAAAGAAATGGTGCTGGCAATTTATATCTTCGGCTCATGTGACAAAATATGTGACTCATAATGTGACATCTTGTCAATTAGCCATTACCTACATTAGGCATAGAGTTTCCAGTAAAACGAAATAGCTCACGTGTTGACCCCAAGGTTCATTACTGCTCTTGGCAGTGAGAGGCAAAATGCAAGCTCTTTTTTCATCAAGAACTCCAACCTCTTTTTCACATTAAACATAGCCAAGTGTTGAATAAAAAATGCTGCCAATATCTGCATGGACCAAGGATGTCCATAGGGATTCTAGTCTGAAAATGGGCAACCATTTGGACCACTTGGACCTAAATCATTAAACTCTGGAATCCTTTTCTCCCTTATTTATTTATTTATTTATTTATTTATTTATTTATTTATTTATTTCTAAATTAAACATAAAACTTGACCTGAAGATCTCTGTTCTTTACCAAAGATGATATCAATACCATTAAGGTCTTCTTTCATATTTAACTCTCTTCTTAGCCATTCAATTACAATTTTCCAAAATGTAGAAATTAAACTGCATTCCCGGGAGGTGTGCATGATTCAGAGAAGTGTTGATTTTGGAAATCATGAAAAATATGCAAGCCAGCAATATGAGTTGTTGTTCATCATACCAAGGTTATATGTTGATGGCATCAACTCAGTATGTTTCACTTTAAGGCTTTAACTACACTAGGCACAGAGTTTTGACTTAAGCGAAATAACTGAAGTGTTTGTGGAATGACCCCAAGGTTCTCTGCATTGAGAGGCAAATTCGAAGCTTTTTGACTTCAGAGCTGGTACCTCTTTGTCACATTTAACAAAGCCAAGAGTTGAATGAATGCGGCCAATATCAACATGGACAAAGGTTGTTCATGGGGATGTCTCTTAGAAAAGGCCATCTATTTGGGCAGCCTTGACAGTTAAGAGTTGCAGTAAGGTGACAGGGTGTCCAGTTTTTCCATCACATCAGGGGGTCCACATTCTCCAGGCAATCCTTAGTGCTTTTATTGCCATGCATTACACTAGTGAGACCAAGTTTTCCATACTTCCCGCCATGGAGTCCATGTTCTCCATAGAGAAGTTTGGCGAACCCGAGTGCTTTTAGCCTTATGCATTGCTCAAGTGCAACAGGGCATCCATGTTTTCCATTCTTGGTGGCATGGAGTCCACAGCGAGGTCTGGTGATCCTGAGAGCTTCATTGTCATGTCTTGTGTAAGCAAAAGTTCCAGATTGTTGCATGCTTAGGTGGTGACTTCTACATTCATTGACACCTTCCTATCAAGATGCCTGTGGATTTTTCTTTGCAAGTAAATCTGGCAGACGACATTTCAGGACCGTAATAAAACCAGAGCAATACACTTCAAATCCATAGGCTTGGTTTTGTGTGTACATGTTGAAGTCATTCTTAGGTTATCTTTAAAAAATTAAGTCCAAGCCAAAATATTGGCATTCACAGATCATCCTCAGCTTCTCTTATAATATTTTTCTTGTTTTGCTTTGAAAAACATTATTTCATGTTTTATTGTTTACTCATAACAAATTTGAATATTGAATATACATAACTTTATCATAAATATAAAGACTATTTTTCTCCACTTGCATCAACATAGAGGTATTCACAGGAAATCTTCAGCTTCTCGTATAAATTTTTTCTTCGTTCTGCCTTGTATGCCAAGAGGGCAGAAAAGGATATGTACCTAGGATTATTGATGCTTTAGTAAAAGTTATAATTAGCTAAATTTTTGTTATCTAAACAATTAATCTGCCACAGTATATTTTGCCATTTTTTCTGGAGAAATTGGCCTTGAAATATGGTGAAATCTGGTGGACCCTTGGTCTTGCTACAAACATAGTTGTTACACTCCAACTGTAGACCACTCCTCTGTCAGTTGAGCAATAATTGACAAGCAAAAATTGTGGCACACAACGTAGTTAAGTTTTCTAAGCACTTTTTCTAACAACGCATAAAGGTTACCAAGAATTAATTTAGTAAAAATCTTTTTAATAGTTTTTTCATATTAAACGCAAAATACATTATTAATTCTTTTAGACTGGTATTATCCTCAGCTTCTCTTATAAACATTTATCCCCGTTCTGCCTTGTATGCCATGAGAACAGAACAGGGCTTGCTGAGGATTATCTTTGCTTCTATATGAAGCAAAAGTGGGTCCATTTTACATTTTTATAAGCTTCTTTTTAAAGCTCTTCAGCTTATTCACCCACTCTCCCTTATTATCTGTGCTTCTATAGTTGGTGTTAAAATTGCATTTTTTTTTTTCAATTTTCTTAACTATGATTGTATACATGTATATATAAATTTGAATCATTTCAACTTTTCACACAGATCATCATTTATGTCACATTTTATTCTCTTTCCGCTTTTCAACTGACAGTATATGCCGCAATTGAAGTACCAAGCGCTTTCTACTTTTTCGTGTTGTGTCAACTTACTTATTAATGACAGGTTTCTTTTTGTTATGTCATCATGTAGGCGGACCCCCGAGTTTATTTCTTTCTTTTTCATCATGATCCTCCTTTTGATCTCGGAGTTTCTCATCTTTACAATCAGTGATTCCTGGTTTGGCTGGTAGGCGGTGAATCGCAACTATGTCTTCACAATGCAGCTCAAATTTTAGTTCTTTTCTTATCAGATCGAAGAAGAGATCTCGAACATTCTCATCTTTCTGTGCAGGTAGATTGACCACCCTAATGTTAGTTTTTCTAGAATATTGTTCGTTTCTGTTTGCCAGTTGTAATGCTTCCTTTGCAGCATATTCTTTTTGCTTCAGATTTTCTCCAATTTGTTTCAACTGTTTTTCTTTGTCTCTTATATTTTCCTTCATATTTTCCTTCTCTAGCTGTAGACTGCCGATCTGTTCTTGTAAGTCCCCTACACGTTTAACATAGTCAAGTCTCATAAATTCCAGGCTTTCTTGGAATCTTGATTCTATTTTTCTATCAGTGTTTTTTATCTCCTCTTGCATGCTTTTCATTAAGACATTTGTAATGTTTGTTACCATGCTCTCCAGGTCGGCTTTTTTAATTGTTTCTTTTATTTCTGATCTTATTTCTGCTATTTCGTCCATCATTATTTTTTTTTCCTCTGCACTACAGTTAGCAACTTCAGAATGTGGTCTCTTGGTTGGCTGAATGTCAGATTTACTGGTTGGAGTACTAGTCAAAAAGCTGGTCATACTGCCTACAGCCTTTTCTCCTGTGGGCTTATTCTTGTTCTTACTAGCTGTTGCCATTGTTCTAAATTGCTCACCCTATAGTATCAGTTATGGTCACTTGAGTTCTCCTGGTGTATATGCTAATTCAATTTTTAGTGACAAGTACTCACTACTCATGCCCACGTGCCTCTATTCTGATGGACTTATTGGTGGAAAAAACTGGCTTCTGCAATTTCTATATTGCTAATTTAGTCACCTTTTTGTGCTTCCTATGTTCATGGACCACCTCACATATTTCACCATTCACATTGTGGTATTTCCCTGTGAATTTAGTCTTTCTTTACCAGCCCTCTTCCCTTCCTTCCTTCCTTGCCCTACAGTCACCGACCTTGACCATCTTTTTTTATATTATGTTATATATTTAATAAAGTGGAAAAAACTTTGGATATATATTCCACCCAAACCATGTTGAAAACTCAAGATTTATGTCTCAAATATCTGGACTCTCTGCATATCACTTGTCCCTCTTTTGTGGCATTTGTGACATTCCCCCCCCCCTTTTTT